GAAATTAAGACATTTTTAGATGGGTGGCTCAAGGGATTAAAAATCGAAACATTTGAGTAACTCAAGGATTTAATGTTGGTAGATCAGATTAAAAAAAAAGTGCAGGCCTAATGAGTTTAAAGAACATTTTATAGATGAATGGGCCACGATCACTTCACCAAAACAGTTGGTGGGTAAAATAGAGGAATTTGAAGATGCAAAAAAGACGATTGCTGGGAAAACGAAATTGGGTGAACTGAAAACGAAAACATCCGGTAGACAAATGGGTGTTTTTCAGTCCACTGGTAATGTTTTCAAAAATAGAAAACCCCTCAAGGCATGCAATTTAAAAAACATGATGATGCACACAGTGTTGGGAAAATGTCGAACTCCAATTTTGATAGGAGAAAAAGACTCCAGTGCTATGAATGTGGATCTTTTGACCATTTACGTCCTCAGTGCCCTAATTTTAAAACTCAAAAGGCAGAAATGTATTGGATAAGCGGGAGATCACAGAAGCTCTGTTAGATCCCTATACATTAAATGGAAGAGTAAATAGTTTTGAAGTACCTATTCTAAGAGATACAGGAGCAACAGTATATATTATTTGTCAGAAATATGTAGACAGAGATAGAATGAAGGGAGAACATGTGTGGGTTCGACATTTGCTGGATGATCATATAACTTGTTTATCTGTTGCTGAAGTGGATATTGAATGCGATTTGGGTACAGTAACCACCAAAGCAACTGTTATAGGAGACCACTTAGACCAAGGGTGATATTTCTTAGGCAACCAAACAGCGGCTCTTCTCAGAAAAACTGAAAAAATGTTTTTTTGTGTGTGTCGGGAAAGTTAATGCTGTCGTTACCCGATCTCAAGCACAACAATTTAAGGAAGCAGAAAATTTAAGTGAGACAAATTAAAATTCTGAGCAGAATGAGTCAGAATCGGAAGAGGAGGACAATGCTCATGAGAAGTCTGAAAACAGAGAGGGTTACAGCCGAAAACATTGCGGCAAAAGCATCGCAGACGAAAACGTCGAGGAGAGAACAACGCAAGGAGAAAACATCATGGGAGAAAACATCGCAAAGAGAAAAGATCGCAGTTTTAAAATATAGTGGTAAAAAATAAAGCGGTTCAAAAACTTTGCAGTTTAAAAACATCGCCGTCTAAAATATCGCGGTAAAAAATAAAGTACCTACAAATCATCGCATGACGACGACATCGCATACATGCGTTCTTCAAATCGCATAGTGACATATTACGTAACTGACTTTCGTCATAACTAACAAATCGATATCCAAACAATTGATTGCAAGCTATACATGAAAATGTTAATGGCTCTTTACGAATAAACGGAAACAAAACAATATGTAATTTACATTAAAACAATATCAAATTAAGAAATGTGAAAGAAAATAATCTGATCATTAACTAAGCAATTTTTATACAGGTAACTATTTACCTTCCTTTTTCTAAGCTGTATTTTTTATCAAAAATTATCAGTTAAACTTAAAATAAGCCTAGTTTATTAATGACATTTGTTAATTAACTATATAAATGTAAAATTCCATTAAGCATTTTAAGTTGCATTAATTTTCCACTCATTTTCAATTTTTAAATGCTTAAGTTTCCTTCTTATTTTTTCAGCAAAAATTTATTAGTTCGTTCAAATATATCAAATATAGAAGTAAACAAATCCCTCATTTCTTTTTGTGCTGTGTGATATTTATACGAACATGCATTTACAACTTTGAAAACCTGAAAACACATGTGTGCGATGATTTGTGGGTTACTTTATTTTTTACTATGATATTTTTGACAACGATGTTTTTAAACTGCGAAGTTTTTTAACCGCTTTATTTTTGACAACGATATTTTGAATGTTTTAGAAATGAGATAATTTCTCTTTGCAATTTTTTCTCCCACGATGATTTGTTTCATGACGTTTTCTCCTTGCGTTGTTTTTTCTGTGACGTTTTCGTCCGCAATGTTTTCAGCAGACACCACAGAGAGATATTGCCTCCTGTCAACCATTCTGTCCCCACGAGTCCTGCAATTCAAATAGACTCAAGTACTTTTATTGCTGAACAACAAAAAAGTAAAGAACTTGCCCTTTTATTAGAACTAGTAAAAAGCAGAAGTAAGACAAATTATGGGATTAAAAATGGGGTTTTAGTAAAAAAGAAAGTAAATAAGTTAGGAGGAGAAGAACATTTGATTGTTGTTCCAGAAAACCTCAGAGAGCAAATTAAAGCAATTTGTCATGAAGAAACTTCAGGTCACTTAGGAGCTCTGAAAACAAAAGACCGGTTACTAAGACATTTTTTCTGGCCAAATTGTTATAAAGACATTGAGGAATTTGTTAAAACATGCGACTCCTGTCAACATGTAGGAAAAGCAAGTGACAAAAAGAAAGCACCGTTGGTAATGGCAGCTGTGATATCTGAAGTCTTTAGTAAGTTTAATGTATGATGCTTGCGGGCCTATGCCTACATCTACTGAAGGTAATAAATATCTTATTACAGTTATGTGCTTAGCCTCTAAATATCCTGACGCGATCCTGGTAAAGGATGTAACGTTGAAATCCGCTGTAAATGCACTCTTGCAGGTATTTAGTCAGATGACCTTTCCAAGGGAGGTTCAAACTGATCAAGGGAAATCTTTTATGAGCTGCTTAACTGTTGAATTTTTGAAGAGGTTTGTATAAAAATTTCCAGAAGTTCGGTTTACCACCTCCAGAGCAATCTTGTGGAACGGTTTCATAGGTCAATAAAAAGGGTCTTAAAGGTATTATGTATTGAAGCTGCCCCAAATTGGGAAATAGAAGTACCTGCCACTCTCTTTGCTCTGCGGACAGTAATGCATGATAGTACAGGATTTAGTCTGTCTGAATTAGTGTACGGGAACCACCTCAGAACACCTATCGCATTATCGTATGAGAAATAGTTAGATCCTCAGGAAAAAGAAAATACCATAATAGAATATGTTTTCGAATTACTCAATAGGCTAAAGAAAAGTAGAGAAGTAGCTACAGAGAAAATGGAAGAGGTGAGAGACAAAAGGAAGAAATAGTATGACAAAAATGTCGTAAAAAGGGAATTCCTGCAAGGAGATGCAGTATTAGTATTGGTAGTGAACCAACCCCATAAACTCGCTCCTCAATGGAAAGGTCCAGGAAAAATATAGAAAAGATTATCTGAAACAAATTATGTGGTTAGTTTTGAAGAGAATCAGGAAGCGAATAAAGTGTATCATGTAAATATGTTAAAACATTATCATAAGAGATTTGAACTTTTGAATATGGTGCTCCTTGACAACGAGGAGATAATTGAACCCTCGGAATTAGAGGAGGATTTTCCTTATATGTTAACGGACCCCAATATGTTTGATTTTAATTAAATAATAGCAAAAGATAATCTTAAAGAAAGACTTAGTGATGAACAAATCCTGCAGTTGGGGAAAAAGCTCATAATACACTATAAACTAAATCTAAACATTTACTCTTCATTGAGATATTAACAGATGCAGACAATTTATAAATGGAATATCCTCCGAAATAGCACTTAAAAGTATGCATTTATGGTTGAGAAATTTAAGGTAATGCAGAAGTAGATTCTTGTTCAAAAAGAAATTTTGTCAAAAAGAAATATGAACACATTGTTAATACTATTATGGCTAATTTTTAGGTGATACGAATTGGAGCTCTTATGAGTAGAAAGAACTTAATCATTGCATTCAGAACTTAATCATTGCATACAGAAGGTTACAAGAGAAGAAATTCTGCTGCAAAAAATTTTGTTAATGTTCAATCTAAGAAAAAGGAACATCACCAGAAAAATGCAGTGGTGATTTCTGTAAAAATAAGCAGTAAGTAGGCCATCCTTTGAGACAGCCATAAAACAACTCTAAAGGACAAAGAGACCAATTATGTGGTAATAGTTCCTTTACAGTTGTTATATTACATACTCACTGCCAGTCTAAGCATATATCTATTACATATATTGGTAGCGATCGCAGCTCTTCGCGTATACGTGATGCTGGGCTGCTAAGAGTGGAATCGTTGTGGTGCGCATTCGCAACGTTGGTCCTGAACGGGTTAACACTTAGAAATCAATTCATATTACATAATATCATTTTACAATTTCCAAATCATCAGTGCAAAGTGTGCTAAATGAATTAGATATAAATTAGATAAAAACTGTAAATATTAGAGATTAAAACTGTATCCATACAAAACTGAAAGCAACTTAAAAGACTATGCAAGATGATTGATGATTAAAAAAATGTAAACAGTTTGTTATACCAATGCTGGAAAAACAAAAAGAATTGATAAATCTTTTATGAGAAATACCTTCTAGCATGCAGTGGTAAATATCAAGACCTGAAGAACTGAAACTTTCACATTTCACAGAGCTGCGAACATAACAGCCCAATGTAAATTTCTGATGTGGTTTAATGATCCGCCGTCTTATCAAACTCCTTTTTCATCAAAATAATAATAATAGCACTGAATATTTACTAAGACATACTGAAGCAACGCGTGCATCTCCAGGTGAATGAATTTATAAAATTGTGTCCTCACAGGACCACCTCACAGACAGTACATGCAACAGTCCTTTAATCAAAAGTTTCCCCAAACAGGGACTTAGCAGAGTCTCTTCACATATTTTTCAATTTTTTTAAATGGTTTATTAAATGTAAAATTTATTTCATCCCAGTTTTCAGATATTAAAAATATAATAACAAAAAGTTAGCATAGACATCCTGATAAAATGAATTTGGGGCCTAATTACTGATTGGAAGTCCAGCATGTGACCAATTTGGAGCATCATACGTAAACAACTGAAGATATGTTACCTTTCTTTTGTTACAATTCCAGTTATTTTATATCTGTTACGGCCATCTGAAATTGGTAACATATTTCTCGAAATCCCTGTATTTTGTACACAGTTCTGAATTCACCTTGTAAACATAAAATTAAAAATTTAATTTTAGTTTAGAACGGAAATAAATTTACCTGGATGGATAACCTGCAGCACTGATCCGTATTGTTTCAAGTACTCCACACGCTCTCAGCTGTTGCACTGCTCTGTGTGGCTCAAAATAAAATGCAATTTTCTGGTCATTTGGTTTTATACAACGCACATAATGTGGAGTAGTTGCATTTAAAGTAGACATCAGGAGACACAAAGATTCCCTAAACTATTGAGAAACAAAATCATACATGAAATATTTTTATATGCATACATTTTTTTCATAAATATTTCTCATCAATATATTAAAATTATTATACTCATTTTAAATTTATAAAATAATAAATTAGTTGTACACATTTATAAAATAATAAGCTATTTATGAATTCCACATTTATAAAATGATTATATATATTAAATTTTATTCTTAAATATAACTTATTCAGTGAAATGTTTATCATCTCTTACTTAGAAGCTAAATGATGCATTTTCTTTTATTTAACAACATAATAACTTCATTTGAACATTCTAAGGTATAAAACATCAATATTCATCAATTTTTAGCATTAAATTAAGTTTTTCAGTGTAAAAAAATACTTTCAAAGTTTCAAAAACATATGAAAGTTAAAAATGTCAGTTAACATAAAGTTAAAAATGTCAGTTAACATAAAGTTAAAAATGTCAGAGAACAGAAAGGATATGAAAATTATAAAAGGGTAGTTATAGACAAGCAAATTACAATATAATTGTTTATAAACTAAATAAACAGTCAAGGATAATCTTTACATTTTTATCTCTTTTGATTTTTTGTTAAACTGCAGTTTAACCTTTTTGGCTGCAGTTATACATTTGTGCTACAAGAAAGTTTTCAACAAGAGTGGTTGCAATATACAGCAGCGCTAAGTCACCAAAATACATTTTGTGGCATAATTTTTTTAGCTTCCTTCCAGATTCATCTTAGCATTGCAACATTTTCAATAATCAAAAGTAGCGATCCGTGCTCCTAATTTCACTGAAAATATTGCTTCAGAGAAGCTTATCTTTATATTTATGTTCCTTTAAGGATAACTTTTTATTTTGAGCCATTAATAACGATGCAGCAATAAAACAATATAATTTGTTAAATTCTGTCCTTTCTGAAACCTCCAAGTGATCCCTTTAAAGATGTTGACACCAGCAGTTGTTTGTTTTTTACACAATGAATTAAATCTTCAGAAAAAAAGCAGTTGGAAGTAATCAGAAATTCTCGAGGAGCGATTTAAATTGCTTCCTACTACTCACAATTGCTGTGGCATAAAATCATGTATTTTTGGACTAAACTTTCATCTGAAACCAGATGGAGTATCAATTCGTATTTTATGTTCCTCCGTTTCTTCAGATACTGAGGTGCTAACTTTATGTACTGGACTGATTTTTCTCCCTTAATGAAATGCTATATTATACTCATTTTCTTCATCAGAATCACTTCCTGGATCATTTATTTCTTTTACCCACTGTTCTCCTTTCAAACATTTGGCACGCATCCTGAAGGGAACTAAATTCAAACTGTAGGTAAAACATTAAAAAAATTTACGATATAAGGAAACAAAACTATTTGTTGTCCGTAGTTTAGCTATACATTACAGAATATAGGTAATTAAGGCATGCTGTTGTATTGTTACTAATCATATCATGGAATAAGTAGAGCAGCTGACAATTCTACTCACAGAATAGTAGAGTAATGCATCACACTCAAAGTGATGTGTACTGTAGAGCGAATCATACCCACAGAACTTTCCATAGATGCCGCTTTTAGGGGCACAGTGGTCGTATCCAGAGAATGTTTCATGACTGCTGCCAGTGTGTGGTGATAGTATTTGGACAAGCTGCCACCAAAGAGAGCCTGGAGTACCCAAAGAACATTTCGTGGCCAGACAAGGGAAAACAAAATGTTTGAAATAAACCTCATAATTTACATAGTTCTTATTAGAATGAAAAAGATAATTTTGTAGCTTCCTTCCAGATGTAGCACAGTATAAAAACAGACACCTTTTAAAGGCAACCAATATTGAAAGAAAATGTTTAAATGAAGTTTAACTTCAGACAATGAAAGGAAAACAAGTTCTGTAAAATGAAAGTACACTATAACTGCAATACCAATAAAGGAATAAACATATATGAGGAAAGCTGAAAAGCAAGGCAAGTGACTAAGAAACACTTGATAGTAAATTCAAGACAAAATTCACATGCTGCTTATTGTTTTGCTAATTTGACATGAAAAGAAACTTTTTCAAAATTCTTTCATAAAGTTTAAAGCTGCTGAACAACGACCTGAAACATACTAAGATGTAATGAATATATATATAAGAAAACTTTCCATATAGCATCTCCAAGGAATACAAATTCAATTTAAAACCACGAATGAAAAAACATTTTTTAATCAGAATATAAATTAGTAATTTCAACTTGTTTAAAAATCTGCAAAGAAAAATCTTAAATCACAAAAACTAAATTCTAAATATTGAAAAAGTAGTTAGTATCATTGATTGCAGATTAATCAACTTATCACGGAGATAAACCAATCTAACATCAATTAACAACAACTAAATTAAGATAGTGTTTCATCTTACTTCCAAGTAAGCATCAAATTATTTGATAGATTCGAACCATAAGTCAAAATTAACACTCAATCCAAATAAAGCCCTTTGTCCATTTAATTTAAGCCCAGAATCTTTTTAAACAAGATAGCAAATAATCTTAAAATTAAAGTTTCTATTAAGAACACAATTAATCTAAACGAGATGCTTACTTTAGAAGACATATCCCCTGCATTCTCATTTCAATTTCAAAAACAGAATGATATAACCTCAAAATTAAAAGTTAAAACATAGTTAATTTATAAAATTTTAAAGATCAAACTAGTAAGTTAAAATTAACAAACTTGTCTTCAAAATTACAAGACCAAATGGCTGGAAATTCAAGTATTTATGCAATTTCAGATTTTTCTTTGCAGATTTTTAAACAAGAATTGAAATTACTATTTTAAACACATTTAAATTCTGATTCAATTTTTTTTTTTTTTTTTTTTTCATTTGTGGTTTTAAATTGAATTTGTGTTCCTTAGAGATGGTATATGGAAAGTTTTTCTCATTTTCAATTATGAATTATAAGTTTATTACTTTACAGCTTTGGCACAAGTCATAGGCTTTTTAATTTACTTCTAATTTATTTTGAATATATATATATATATGATTAAAAACATGATAAAAAAAGTCTCCCAACAATAATTCTAAAAATACTAGTAAGCATTAAAAAACTGTTTGCAAGAAAAATGAATTTAAATCCTATGATAATGCATGCAAACATGCCTCAAAATATTAATTGTAATAATGAATTAAGAAATCAAACATCAATATCTATTACATAATTTCTTTTTTAAGAGAAAAATAAAGCATAAAGCTTTAGAAAACTCACTTGTGAACCAACTGTTTTCTTATGCTGTTTCTGACCAGCTTTCACAGGAGGTGCAGCTGATCTAACTTTTGCAACATGGTTTCAGTTTTGTGTCACTTTTCTCCTCTTCAAATAATTCAGCCACAAGCTCAAACTAAATATTTATACCTTATTAATGAGGGAAAATGTATATAAAATATAAGACATGAAAAATTATTGCTAATAATAATAATAATTAACTTTCCAAATCAATACATATATTTTATCATACCAATATGCAAGAAACCTCACAAACTATAAAAATTAAATCTAAACAAATCAGTTTCAAGATGTACATTTAGGGACAATTATTAGAGTAACTTTTAAGTGTAAAATTAGTTATTAAGAGGGCTTTCTTCAACTAGAAAAAGATTACGATTTAATGTTCTAAATGAATAATCTTTATTAGCATGAATGCCTTGAATAAAACCGAAACATCAAAAACCAGCTTCAATTGAAAATCAAAATATACCAAGTATGCTATAAAGTAGTTCCCACAAAAACACCATTTTTGCTTTATTTAAATAATATAGGAAAGCAAAAATGGCGTTTTTGTGTTATTTAATTTTCTGTGTTTTATTTATGTTATTTAAAAAAATTATGTAAATATATTATTTAAAAATGCATTTTTAAATAATAAATACATCATCGCATTTTAGGCTAACCTCATACTTTATGATACGTATGATTTACTTTATACATGCTTTAGATTCCTTGGCAGACTTTTTTTTAACACCGACTTTTTTTTTTTTTTTTTTATGAAGAAGGTCTTGTTTTCAGTTTAGATAAAATCATAAATAGTTTCCATCTGTATTTCAACGTATATAAAATATACATTTAAACATTTATGAAATTTACAAGAAAGTTATAATGTTTTAAGATAGATAACGATAAAAAAATCATAATTTAAATTTTTAAAATATAATACAGATGTTTTTACTTTTCAAAAAAGAATACAATTGAATAAAAGTATACAAAATAAGAAGACAAAAGAGTAATAAATGCTATCAAAACTATTACAAAATGTTATAAAAAAAACTTTTGTGTATATCACCAGTATAAAATAAGAATTTAGAATGTACAAAAATAATTGCTATAATAAAAATTACATGATGTTGTGATAAAAAAAAAGTTTTATGCAAATTCTAACACCTGACAGTAGTTAATACACACACACACACACACACACACCACACAAAAAAAAAAAAAAAAAAGAAAAAAAAAAAAAAAGAAAGAAAGAAAGAAAAAGAAAGAAAAACAACACCTTAAGGCAATTCTTTACTACCCAGGAAAAAGTATTATCTGACATCTCTGGCTCTCCTGATATTATATTTTTAATTATTCTACTTCAGGCACTTGCCTACACATCTTTTTTAATTCCTGATTTTTCTGTCAAAAGAGAAAATCATGCTTTCAACAGCTTCCCTACTCTTCTGATCTTGCTCCCACAGACTTCACTCTTTTTCAGAAATGAAATTAACTTTGTAACGATGATCAATAAGATAAAAAAAAATCTGAAAAAACAACTAATTGTTATCTCCAAAGAAGCTGACCATAATTGCTATACAAATGGTTAAATGAAAGTGAGGTATCAGTTAAAAGCGCACTACAGAAATGAACAAGGCTAAATAACCTATAAATCCATGAAGAAAAATGTAACAAAATTTTTAAACTTTTTGAACAGATCTTATATTATATAATCTACTAGTTGTCTATTTAACATGAATTACCATTTCTATTATAAATGCGAGATTCTTCAAATGGGAACCCTAATCCAATAAAAATTACAAAAAAATTACTGAGATATTGCAAATACATTTTAAAGCATTATTTTTTATAAATATTAAAATACAGCATGTTTCAAAAACAATATACGTATTTCGAATGCATATATTTATTAAACTGTATGACATAAGAATATGAAACACACATATGTACGAACCTCTCAAGTTCTGATTACAGATGTTACAGATATTCAATATGTCTTCCATCAGCGGCACGAACAATCTCACATCAAAACTCAAATTCCTCCCATACTCGGGCAAGCATGTCTGTTATCAATGATGTTATGACAGTACGGATCCGGTCCTTCACCTCTACTAGGTTCTGTGGGAGTGGTGGTACATAAATGTTGTCTTTAATGAAACTCCACAGGAAGTCAAATCTGGTGACCGTGAAGACTGATGACCAATCCAACAGTTTGGTAGAGTTTTATTCAGATAATCATGCACTTAACGACACCAGTGAAGGGGTGAAGGGTCTTGTTGAAAAATGAAGTTGTCTTTGTGCAGCCTCGGAAACAACCAGTTTTGTAAATAGCGAGATACTACTGACTGTTAACCATGTTTCAATCAAAGAAGAATGGGACGTAAACAGATCATCGGGATATCGCACAAAACACATTGATTTTGGGTGAATCTTGTACCTGTTCAATGGCTGCATGTGGGTTCTGTAGGCCCCAAATTCGAACATTGTGTTTGTTTACATGACCACTAACATGAAAAGTTGCTTCATCACTGAACACGATGCATTGAGTAAAAGTGTTATCATTGTCAATAGCATCAATAATCTTGTTACAAAATGCCACACGTTTATGTTTGTCATCAGGATGCAGAGCCTATAACAAATGTAACTTGTAACAAAGGTAATGGCTTCATAACCAACCGACATCTCAAAACCCGCCAAATTTGTATGTTGTAACTGTAGGCAGTTGTAACTCCTGACTGGCATGACGAGTTGATTTTGAAGAGCTATGTTAAAAAGCAGTTTGAATTCGTGCAAAATTTTCGTCAGGAACACAAGGGTGGCCAAGACTCTTTCCTTTACATACACATCCAGTATTTACAAACTGTCGATACCACCTGCGAATGTTCCACCCATTTAGAGGATCACTTTGGTAACTCAACTTGAAACGTCTTTGCACTGTAATCACAGAATTGCACTTCGCAAACTCAAGAACACAAAATGATTTCTGCTGCAGAGTAGCCATTTTAAACATGTGATGGTTACCACACAAAACAGAAGACAACTGACATCTAGAAGCTGTTAATATACACTAGACTATGTATTCGTTTCGCTAATAGCCGAGCCGAGGCGCAGTGATTGATAATTTGGATGAAATAGCACTTTGTAATATGCATAATCTTTCTGAAACACGGTGTATATCAATATCTAATCAAGTTTTTATTGAATAACTATAAACTATTTACAATTATAACTAAAAATTTTATCTACCTTACCACGCATCTTTTGACAATTATATGCAGTAATTTTATAACAATGCAAGTTTCTGTAAAATGTTTTTAAAAGTTTTATAGGACTTTCTGAGATTTCATGAACATCAAACTTTTCCATGATCATGAAAAAAATTTATGAATTCTGAAGTTTTTTTCCATTACTTTTTAAATTCCATTTTAATTGTTACATTACTTTTCACATTCAAATATTTTTATTAATAAAATTAATGAATAATATTTCATGAGGAATTTAAATAAAAAAAATAGACTGCAATGTATTTCTACTCCAAAATCCAAACCAGAATATTGACTCTTGAATTACAAAATTTTGCTTAAGCTATTAAATGAGCTCTGTACACTTATTGATGAGAAAAAAAATCTTGCATTACTGTTTGTAAATTAAAAAAAACATTGCCAGCCACAAACCTTTTCAGAGTACACATTTCAATTGAACTTGTTTTATTTTAGTATGCTATATGTATGCATATAGCATACTAAAATCTATGCTCTATGTATGAATTAAATTAGTGCCTACTTATATATGCCAGGCTTTTGTGAAGTGTTAGCCTAATTTCTTGCCACTGATTGCCCACCTTATTACATGTTCATATTTTATTAAAGCTTAGTTCTCAGTTTCTAATAAGTGCTACAAATCTCACTAGTAAATAAGTTTTTAGCAAATTAAGTCTTGCTGATTATTTTCTTTTTCTTTTACTTAAACGAGCGGGTCACAAAGAAGGAATGAAGAGAACATAGTGAGAAATACATTTTAAAATCTTGTTATAAATAAATGGGGTGAAAACATAGATAATACAATATCATATACACACAGTCTACTTCATGATACATCAGAATTATGTATTCAATGAACTCATGGAGAGATAAAATTCTGTGAAGAGATATTCTTCACATCACATAAATAACAATTTTCTATTACACACAAATGGATAAAAACTGTTTATTATTAAATTTAAGGTTAGGTTATTTAATTAAGGCAAAGCCTCGAGGGCTATCTGCCTAAGGGGGAGGGATGCCTTCATGGAGCACTTTCTAAGGGAAACTGGCTCGTATACACGTTACACATGGGGAAAGCCACGAAAACACCCATGCAGCCAGCCCGTTCACGGGATTCAAACCTCAGACCGAACTACCAGCGTTAAACGACTTTACTGCTCGGCCGCTGGTGAGCCTTATTAAATTTAAGAAATTTAAAAAAAATGTATATATATATATAAATCTGAAAGGCTTCAAATTTAAAATTACATTCTCAAAGGGGCATTTTTTAAAAATATTTTGTCTGTTGCCTTTATTTATTAAAATAACACATTCTTCACACTTAAACCATAAAATTCAGTTCAAGAGCAATATAGCAAAATAGTTTTAAATTGAGCATATCTTTAGAATTTCCGGTACAGAATCTCGGTGCTGGAGATAAAAATATTTTTCCTGTACAATGTTGCCATTGCTCGCTTTGAAATTCTTGAGTTTGTTAATCAAAAATTTGCTAAAGTTTCACAAAATATGAAACCGATAATAAAACAAATTCCAAATTTTTAAATTTGAGCTTCTACATGCCCATATTCGCAGTAGGATTACATCAATCAAAATTCAATGGCTCTATGTACCATTGTTTTATCACAATGCAAGAAATATAGATACATTTATGCAGATTTTTCATTATTTAATTTCTTCAAATATAATGCAAGACTCTAACATTTGGTGGCAACAATTTGAGAAAAAGAAATGGACATTTATAGTGAACCAATGCAAAATTGCAAAGCGAAAACAGTAGTCCTTCAGGGACAACGCCCCCTTGAACTACAAAATTCTTATTTCTCCTTTTATACTTGTGGCAACATTCCCAAACAGAAATGGAAGTAAATAAACCATCACCATATGATAAAAATGCACTAAATTAATTATGAAGAAAGCAATACTTTTTGCAATTGCAATTAATGAAATACTATGGCTTCAAAAGATGATTCAATTTGCTTCAGTGCATTTTTTGCTATACTGAATAGCTGCTTAAGAATAAATATTTCCTACTGACTATCCAAAATTTTAATAATTTTATGATGGCTCCAAAAATATAGCTTCACAAATTATAAAATATGTTTACAAGTATAAACAAAGTTTATATAAATATTATAATACATATTAAATAAAACAGTAAATACTGTCAATATAGAACACAGAATATAAATTCAGAAGTCCCCCCAAAAAAATATGACATGAAGGTGAAGCAGACATACCTGACTAGCTTTTAAGATATTGATATGTTCTTCCATTACAGTATCTCTGTTCTTTTCTAAGAAACCTACAACTTCATATTTCACTTTGTCTGCAAAGTGATGAATAATAAAAGCAGTATTTGACAAGCGAGGCTTTTCAAAATGCTTCCATTTTTTGCACTGACTAAATAGTTTCTGACACCATGTTTCATCTGTACCTTTTGGCATCTGAAAAATTCACACAAAGATCAGAGCTGAATATGGCAGCATAGCATCTTATTAAACATTATTTTGGGCAGATTCAAAAGATTTCAGGAATATTAATAAAATTCTGAAATGCAACTGATAATGAAATATATTTCAATTTGAACAAATATATTATTAGTAAAATCTTATGATTAATGTCAGCAGGTACTGGGCTACTAGAAATTGATGTGCATATGCTCACAGATGCAAATTAATACAACTGGATGCAACAGAATTGAGCAACTTCGTTATTATTTAAAACTCATGTTGAGAACTAAATTTTATTATAGTCCATATCAAACAAATATTAATTTTTACATTAAAATTCTTAAATTAGAATTGCTAGCAAAATTTGCTTATTTACTTTGCACTCTTCATCCAGCAAGTCAAGTATTCCAAGTTTGCTTTCTATGAGATCAATACATGGCTGATTGTCATAAAAATCTATGAATTTCCATTCGATTTGTTCACGGACATATTCCTCTTGTTCCAGTTTAAAAACATGCTGGAAATATACATCAAAATAGTGGATTTAGTGTTCAATTAACTTATAATTACTTCTACATATATAATAAGTTCTACATTTATTGTGAAACAAAAGCAAATAGTTTAATAACTGTATTTTCACATACAGCAATTTTGCAACAAAGAATACATGAAAATTCAAAATTATTTATACAGCATTTTTCAAAAATATGGGAAATCTCATGGCAAAAATTAAATCGATTTAAAAATAATTAAATTAAGATTATTAATTATATGTAACTGAAATCATCAAAATTTATAAATATGCAAAGGTTTTTATTAAATTAAATCAGTAAACAAAACTAAACTACCATTAGATTTTAAGAAGACTGCATACAATATTTTAGTACTTCACTTGCATTCCTTCCAAGATTTGAAGTATAAGATAAATTAAATAACAGCATTATCTTAAATTTGTATAAAAAACTGATAATTCTTTCAAAGTGTTACCCTAAAGTAACATTATATGTGAAAAAAACTTTCAGAATTGGGTGCTGAGATCCTTTCCCAAAACACATTTCACAGTTCCCAAAACACATAGCTAATAAATGTAAGTTAAAACTCAAATCGAGTCACTGATATTTGAGAACAGAATACTTGTACCCGGTTGTAAACCTTACACTAGAGTGTTAACTAGTGCTTAAACACCAAGCACTGGTACATTTCACTATGGTTTGAGTACCAGCAGTTCAGGAAAACAGCATCTCAGTATGGCTCAGATTTCTATAAAGTGCAAGTTATGTAGCAAGTAAAAGCAAAGGTTTATCATCCTGCAGAACGTCTTAAATGATTAATAAATGATTTCTGCTGCTGTAAAAGCACTATGCGGATATCAAAGTTTACTGATTGTTAATGGCTAACTTGATTGAAATTTTCTGGGAAATTCTGAATCTGAAAGCTTCTACAGCTTTAACACATTTTTCCCATTACAGGTGACTGAAAATAACAATACAGGGTTCATACACACTTCTGCACGTGGACATTAAGTACTTTGATGGACTTTTAAGGGCCATCAATGAAAATAATTAAGGACTTTACATTAAGTAAATAGGAATTGAATAAACTAAAGCAATTTCTACACCCAAACTTCCCTTTTGTTATACCACTTTTGCAACTTATGTAATTTTTAAGAATAAAATAAACCTGTAAGTAGGATCCATTATTATTAAACATAATCTAATATTTATCCTAAACATAAAAAATGAATTAAAGAATAATATTAATTTCATAATTTTTTTCAAGAAATTAGCATTAAATTATAAAATTTTTTGAAACATTTACATTTTACACTTATAACAATCCTACATAGTTTGAATATGATAAGTGACTTTTATTTTAATTGTATTAACAGTTAGCTTTATATTGATTCTTCTTTTATGCCTGATTTTGTCAATTAATCGGTCAGTCCAGAGGTATATGCACAATTTTTTGCCCAGTGGCCTATGATAAATTAAGAAATAAAATAATAATCAGCATGATTTAAACAGAAGTTTGACTTATAACAGTGTTGCTACTACAGCTACTTGCTTAGAAACAGAGAGCTGCTAATCAGAACAAAAGTGAATATCTGACGTTGGTATGGTTGGTAAGTGTTGAATGTTAGCTGCCCTTTGTCTGACCCAGTTAGTGTCGTAGCTTCATGTAGATTTGCTGTAGTTGTAACCCATTTAATATACAGTATTTAATATAAAGCTCCAATAAGTTGCTGAAGTACCAGAGATGATAGGTTGTTTTTTATTATTTTAAATCTCATTAGATGTAAGGAATAAAGTTTTATGTTACATTTTACACATTTGTGTTGTAGTATTTTGCATCTGCAAAAAGAATTATGGAAAGCAGATATTTTACCTTAACATATAAAGGTATCTTAAGGTGATAAGGGTGAGCAGTTAGTTACAAATAATTACATTACATAGTTAGATACCCTCAGTCATAATGTGTCTGGTGCTTGCTAGGCATTCAAACCGACCCTCTTTCCAAACCAAACCTTAGTTATAACAGATTTACAGGGTTACAAATATATCTATTATAAAAGCACTAAGAACATTTTATACACATATTAAGAGCTACAAAACATTTGTGTTTTGCAGCAGCAACAAACAACAAAACATCCATGGGCCTTTAATTTGAAATTTTTCTGTTTGTTTCAATAAACAAATAAATGTTTTCACTAGTCTTTGCTTCATCTCCTAGTTTTTTAATCATTCAACAATGCTCTTTTGAAGAATAATTCTCTGTCTTTCTAAAATCAGTTTCCTCTTCCTTTTAGAATTTTCAGATTTCTGTTATTCTTAAGAGCTGCTTAGAATGCATAAAAGAAATTGCTAATTTTATTTCTTTAATAATATAAGTATTCCGAATAAATATGAAATTATAAGGTCACAGCTAGTACGGCAGAATTTAATAAGCACAAAGCAACATTTAGAGCAAAATTTTTATAATTTAGGACAGGCAAAGTATGCACTGCCCTGATGATGCACCGAGAAATATATAATTAATTTTTAAATAAATTGTCAGTTTTTAATTTTTTTGCTTTCTTTGACTGCTTCTATGTCCCGCCCTTTGTGGCAAAAGTGTTGAAACAATTGTACAGATATGAAATAAAGCTACAGTCCTAAACTTTACAAGTGTTTTCGAGTTATTGAGGAGAAGATGTGATTTATAATATGAACTTTCATGGGCCGTCAATTCCGAATTAGAAACGAATCAGCGACATCTAAATAGTGAGTTTGTGAAAACGAAAGTGTGCTCTTCTTTTGAAGCGATTGTTTTGTGTAACCTGTGTTCCTAATAATGGAAGAAAAAATTAATTCATTACAAGCATGAAAAAGCTACCCTAAAGGGTAAAATCACCCATTTAGAAACATTTATAGAATCAATGGTTGAACCAATTAGTAAAGATATTATAACCGAATTAGAAGTAAAATTAGAAACTGCATACACCGTCAAAAGATGTATAGCTGAATTACAAAAGGATAACTTCAAATTGCCTGTAAAAGTGGATATTAGTGAAGCAAAATCGGATTTAGAAAAGTGGGAGATTCGTCTGGGAAAAAAAAATCAAAGTAAGATTAAAAACATTCTTACATAAATTAAATGTGAAATTTTCTGTGAAAAGTACTGAGAATGAATAGGGTAAAATAAGTGTTGATAATTGTTCTAACATAGCCCCAGATGTAAAGCTCTCAAAATTGAGTTTACCTACATTTACTGATAATGTTTATGAATGGATAACTTTTAATGATTTATTTATGTTGTGCATAACAATGATAATTTGTCAAAAGGACAAAAGCTTCAATATTTATTATCAGCCCGTAAAGGTGATGCACTCCGAGTCGTGAAGTCAATCCCAGTTTCAGATAAAAATTAAGAAGTTGCTTGGTCACTGTTAGAAGAAAGATTTTCAAATCATAGAGAACAGGTTTTTGCAAACATTAAGCGATTTATGTCAATTGCATCCATTCACAGTGAATCTGCTAGTGTTTTACTAAATTTAGTTGACATTACCTTTGAATGTACAAGAGCATCAGAAATTTTAGAACACAAAATTGATGGGTTTGCTGATACAATGTTTGCGTATGTTTTGTTACAAAAATTAGATGAGTCAATAAAATTATGGTTCGAACGTGAATTTGGTAGAAAAATAATGTTCCCAAATTGAATGATTTAATTGAATTTCTAAAAAATCATGCAAGACCTTAGAAGCGCCTAGAGTTTCTAAGAACACGAACCAAAGGAAGGCATTATTCTAAAGGTATTGTATTGTTAAGTACTGTCAAGTCATCTAAGTGCAGTTTCTATTTGGATAATCATATTATATATATAAGTGTCCTACATTTCAAGCTATATCAGTGAATGATAGGGTTGAATTTCTAAAAAAGCAAGGATTGTGTTTTAACTGCTTTTTAAACCATAGTGTAAAACAGTGCTCTTCAAAAGTTTCATGCGCTTAATTAGTTTTAATTAGTTTTGCTGAATTACATACAATATTGTAGGATTAATCATATTAATTTAAACTAACTTTTAACAGAATATAATGACCATATCCTCTTTTTTTATATTTTAAACTAGCACTGCCAGTTAAGTTAGTTTGAGAGTAATGAATCTAACAACAAATGCGGTAAAAAACATAACACCCTAATTCACTTTGAGAAAAGAAATAATAATTCATCCCATAATGTACATTCTCAAAAAGCATCTTTCACCCCGAATAATGCTAGTGAAATAAACATTTCAAGCAAATTAAATCCGAACGCAATTAGTTTCGAAAACAAAAATGCGACTCTCTCCATAAATCAGACATTTGTTGGAACGAGTTATGAATCTGAACATACTTGTGAATGTGAACTTCTCGGCACCAGAGCAAATGTTTCCTTTCCAAGGTCGAAGAACTTACACGTTTTTGTCTACTGCTGTGATTAAGGTTCGAATGAGAAATAATAAACATTTTAGCAATTCTGGACGCAGGCAGTCAAGTCAGCCTAATTTGAAAGGAAATCGCGGATGTTACAAATAAATAAAACAAGCCATAAATGCTCCTATATCTGGCTTGAATTATTCGATTCTAACTGTTAAAAGTAAGCTAGTAACATCAGTGGAAAATTCGAATGGAGACTTGAAAAGAAATGTTGAATTTTTAATTGTAGATAATATTACTGATCTTACTCTTTCAAAACAATTGGACGTTAAGAAAATTTGTTTTCCAACAGATAACTGTTATGCTGACCCAAGCTTTTATAGACCAACCAGGATCGATGCTATTCTAGGAGCAGATATATTTTACCTGCTGCTAAAACCAAATCAAATAAAATTACAAGAGGAATCTATCATGTTGCAAGAGACAGTGTTTGGCTGGGTAGTGAGTGGATCTATGAATTTAAGTAAACAAAAGAGTTACCATTGTGGATTAGTAAACAATTTCGAAGATTTAGATATTCAATTAGCAAACTTCTGGGAGTTAGAATCCCTTGGTATTACAGATACTGAATTGAGAAATGATGAAGATAAGGCCCTAGAGATGTTCAATGAAACAGTATGTTTTAAAGACGGATGATATGAGGTTCGGTTGGGAGGAACTTAAAGACAATTATGATGTTGCAAAAAATCAAATTGCAAACATTGTTAAAAGAATGAAACGTGATACTTCCCTGTATTTAAAGTATTGTGATATCTTTAATAGTTATTTGAGTGAGAGAATTATTGAGAAAGTGATGAGCCCAGTTAATAAAGTGAATAAATCTTTATATTACCGTAATTTCGCGCGTATAGTCCGCGGACTATCTGTGTTTAAAATGTGAATTTTTGAAGCTGCGGACTATCCACCAGTGTGGATAATACACTGGTTGTTCATGTTAAAATCGTTGAAATTTAAAAAACACGCTGTCGTGAACTGCCGATGATCAAATATAAAAAAAAGTGCGAGATTCCAAGAAAACATTTGTATGTATCGTATCGATAGTAAACCATAGAGCATAGTGCAGAACGAATGAGTAGTAGCAAGTAGTGCTCCTAAAATCCAGGCTGGCACATCAAGCGATGCCGGGATATGAGCCAAAGAAAGTCTTGTATGAGCACTCACTTAACGCAACCAGAGTCTTGTATCCCAGTATCCTTCGCACTGCTTTAGCGCAACTGCGGGAGGGGGAAAAGTAATTGATGCGTCAGCTCGGATTTTTAGGAGCCTTAGTAGCAAGTACCTGGAGTACGGAAAAAAAGCGTGATTCGTTTACTTATAAAGCGTGGTTTGGCAACACCGAGTGAGTGGAGGTCGAAGGTCATATTTCATTACCACTTATCACGCAGTATAGCACGTTGCACAGTATTTTGTTTTCGTATTTTGTCTTTCATCTTCGATAACGTTGATGAAACATCACCGGGAAAAAGATGGAAATAGAGAAGCGGGCCGTTATTATTTTTAATCCTAGTATTTGGTGCACACGGGATTTCGCTACTTTTGGCGACTTTATGATGAGCAGTGAAAACGGGACATATACGATGAGTAGTTAACGGGTCATTCAAAGAAAATATATAGGTAAACATAGTATATATACTATGTGTGTATATACGTATACTATGTGTGTATATACGTATACTATGTGTGTATAGTATATATATAGACGTTCTTTGGATCATTTTTGGTGTTGGAGATAATTTTCAAAGTCGCGCCAAGGCTGCACCGTATACTAGGATTTTACTCCGTTATTTTGAAGTGGACGAGAAAGCGGTGAGAAATTGGCGCAAACAAAGGATGTGTTTAAAAAGCATGGGAGTATTGCCATATTAAAAAAACATAATTTCGGACATATAGTCCGCGGACTACCCGGTGGTGCGGACTATCTGACGATTTGTGAAATTTTTTTATATAAAATCGTGTCTGCGGACTATACGATGGTGCAGACTATACGTGCGAAATTACGGTACTTACCCCACCATGCAGTTTGTAAGACAAGAGAGCTTAACTACTAAGGTAAGGATTGTTTTTGATGGAAGTTCGCATGAACTAGGACAATTATCTCTAAATGATTGTTTATATCAAGGAGTTAATTTAAACCCAAATATATTTCATTTATTGACATTCTTTCGCTTGAACAAGATCCGCTTCTTGGCAGATATAGAGAAGGCTTTCTTGCAAATTTCTTTACATGAAAGAGACAGAGACGCAGCGAGATTTCTTTTCATTGACAATATGACTAATGTGTATATAAAGTCAAAAGGCTAAATTTGGAGTAAATGCAGGTCCCTTTTATTGGCAGTAACTATTAAAAAACATGTAGAGAAGTACAGAAAGGACTTTCCTGCTACAGTACAAACACTTGATACCAGTTTTTATGTAGATGACCTTATCACAGGTAATGACAACATTCTATCTGCCTTTGAAATTTCTAAAAGTGTCGAAAAAATAATGAGAGATGCTGGGATGCTCTTAAGGATGTGGATTTCAAATTCTGAAAGGTTAAGAAAAGAGTGGAAAGCTGTGGGATTTAAGCAGTTTATCCCTCCGAAGGTTCCCAATTTTGGCGGTCTTTGGGAGGCTGGAGTAAAGTCATTCAAATATCATTTGAAACGTGTTGTGGGAAATGCTAATTTAAATATAGAGGAGTTTTTAACAATTGTATTACAAATCGAAGGGGTTTTAAATTCACGCCTTCTTTCTCCTCTGTCTTCCGATTCTAATGATTACACAGTTTTGTCCCGCGGATACTTTTTGATCGGCAAATCACCTCTATACCTGAGCCTAATTTAATAGGTATCCCCGAAAACAGACTTTCCAGGTGGCAAAAGATAACTAATTAGGTTAAAAAAATTTGGCAGTTGTGGTGACAAGATTATCTTAGTAATTTACATCAAAGATCAAAGTGGCAGTTTGATAAAAATAATGTTAATGTTGGAACTGTTGTACTTATAAAGGATAAGAATCTTCCACCAACAAAATGGTTAAAATTGCTGAGATATTTCCAGGCAAGGATGGAAAGGTAAGAGTTGTCAATTTATAGTTACCAGGCGGAAAATTTCTTAAAAGAAGTAGTCTGCACATATATATCTTGCCAAATCAATAGTTAGACTATATGGTATTAATGAAATTGTATTGTATTCATGTTATAATTATTTTCATTTAAGTTGTTATACAGTGTTATAGTGATATTGGTTTATTATTATATATTATCGTTATTCAGCTTTTGCAAAATTTGTTTTGATATTCTCATATTGAAATTTGCAATTTAAATGGGCAGGAGGATGTTCAGTCTTACCTCCTTGATATATGAACTGCAAAATGTAGAAAATGCCTCCAGAGGCAGTGCAAAAAGGGAAAAAAACCAGAGTGTGTGTTCTCGCTTTGGAGAAGTGAGAGTTCCCGCCTTTGTGGCGAAAGTGTTAAAACAATTGTAGAGATATGAAACAAAGCTACAAACCTAAACTTTATAAGCTACAGGCCTAAACTTTATAAGTGTTTTCGAGTTATTGAGAAGTTCTGATTTATTATATTTATAATATGAACTTTCACTACATATCCTAAATACTGTAAAACTGATATTGTGTTTACTGGGATTTTTCCTTTTCATAAAACCCAAGCATCATGAAAATTAAGAATTTAAGTACTGCTAAAATATTCTTCAAATAAAGTTTAAGCAGTATTTCAAACACAAAATAAAAATATACATAATAAAGTCTGAAGAAATCATAAAACATGCACACAAATATAATTTGATTAATAAAAAAGTGAGTACAATACTTTTTAGTTTATGAAACTGTTCTGTTGACATACCATATTAAATTGTTGTTGCAGTTTTTCATTAGCATAATTTATACAAAATTGTTCAAAACTGTTTATTTCAAAAGTTTCAAACCTAAGGCAGAAAAATAAAATTAGGATACAAAATGCAATGAATAAAAACAGGTAATATATTTTAGTCATATTGGAAGCAAATTAAACTAATATTTAGTTAAAAATATTGTTCACATTGCTCTTTACTAATTAAGATATCCAAACTTGAAATTGAAAAAAAAAGTAATTTTTTCCATTTATATTTTTACTCGGGCCATTAGTCTGATATTATTCTCAAAAGCACAGTCTATCAATTAAGCATTATCTCTATAATCATGAATATGCTGTTTATGTTACTCAACATTAATATGCGAGTAGACAAAAAGTTCCACTTCTGAGATTGCTTTAGCTTCAGAAATAATGTCTAGTGAAAAATAATGTGAAACAATTCACTACCTAGTTAATCCAACTCATGTACATTCAATCTGCATTAACATCTGCAAAGATCAAAGTCTTAGTTGGACATATGTCTACAGATCAATTTCTATTCCCTCTCTTCTCCCTGTTCTTGTGGTTGTTTGGTAGCTGTCTAAACTTTGCCTTGCAGATGTCAGTATGAGATAGCATGTACATTATGCCAGATATGTATCCAGCAGAAATGTCAAAACTTGTGGACCACTTTACCCTGACTAATGAGCAATATCTGCATTTTAGAACTTTCCTTACAATATGCTCATTTAACACATTCAATTTTTTGAAAACTTAGTCTATGAATGTTCTGATTTCATCATCATAAAAATTTAACATATTCTCCTTGCGACGTCTTTGTACCCTATGCAGTTCCTGTTGAAAAAGATAATATCACAGCTTCAGCCATTTCAGATATTGCAAAAATTGGAATAAGACCTACAAATTAACAGCAGCATAAGCACAATTTTATTTTGGTAAGGTAACAGAAAAATCACATAGCAAGATTATAAGTAAAAACAAAATTATTAGTAAATTTATGCAAACAGGAGTTTAAGATATATAGCCATACCCATTTATAATAAAACTGGTTATGCTGAACATTTAATTTTACAAATACAGTATCTCATGACATTAACAACATTAAACTCTCCTTAAAAACAACTTTAAATTTACTTTTCATTACAATCTATTTCCTCAACTACTGATTGATATAATGATTTTTGTTTCCTCTTTACTAAATTAAAATTTAATTGGAAGTTTTGAATACTTCTTTACAGACCCTAAACAATTTTTCTTGCTGCATAATTTAATACAAAAAGGATATTCCTCACCCCCTCAAAACAATGATTTACGATTCTTTTATAAACAGATACATGGTTGTATATTGTTACAGAAAACACAGAACTTTCTTACAGCTAAAGAAAACCATAGCTGTATTCTTTTCCTAAGCAAGCTTAATCATAAAAAAAGTATTTTGATTAATAGCATCATATTTATGCATTCAGTACCCTTATTCTTTTCACGGTTCAACTGTATTCCTTACCAAAGCCTGCTATGAAGCAAATAATTGCAGCATAAATGTGAAGAAGGTAGATAGGAAAAAAAAGTCAGTTAAAAGTATGGAATTCCTCAGACACATTACAGACAATTTTAAAAGTAAATACCTAAAACTGTTAAAATTAATTAATTCAAGAAACAAAATTCATTTAACCTATACTCTGATGTTGCAGCTATCTATTATCCCCAGTTTACAGGGACAAGGATCAAAATTTATATATTAGTAATTCAATCTAAAGCACTAAGTTCTGGAGCGCAACTAGGTTATAAAAAATTTGGTACTTCAGGATTAAAGCAGATACCTAGATCAATCAGCAAAACTGGAATATTAGTTGGTAAATATAACCAATAGATTTTTAAACTGCAACAAATTTGATTTTCAAACTATTTTGACCGTGATGTTGTCTATGTGATATCATTGATTCAGTAATTCATTTTTCCCTCTAAAATGTTAAACACTTTAACTTATAATTGGAAAAGAAACCATATTTATAACATGCCACACTTTATCTTTACGCTCGCTTAATCGACTGGAAAAGAACAGGTAATATTTTTTAAATGCCACGTCTTTTTTTATCCTGATGGTCGTCTTTAATAGCCTAATATCATTAGTTATTTTTTTTTATAATGTTGGCAATTTTTCACATACCATAAATTAGAAAAAAAAAACAATATTCTTCATGATGCTATACATTCTTTTCCATTCATTATTAATTTTTCTTCTAAAATGGTGACCCTATCTAACTTGCTAAAAAGAAGCAGTAGTTTTCTTACAAGAGCACAGAATTTTGTATACTGAGCAAGTGTAAAAATGTCCACCAAATAAAATTATTTATAAAGAAACTGTGGCTAAATGGCCAAAAGGTTGAACAGCTCACCAATACTTAACATTTATATTTAGAAGAATTTTTATGCCAGCAGTATGTAAGATGAGACAAAATATTTAATTTTTTTTTATAGCAGCAACTTCCAAATTATGACCCCCATTAATGTAAATAGATGTTAATTCAGATATTAATAAAATAAATAACTATTATTTCAAGTTAAATTTAAATAAATGTTAATAATTGTTAAATAAATGCTATTTATTGTGTTCCTATATTATGGTTTTTTCATTTTTGAAGTCTACCATAGTGTTTTAAACATTCGCCAAATTAATTTTACATTTCACCAAAGCATATTCAATGGCCCGCTTTAATACTGAACTACAAAAACTTAATGGTTACAGAGATTTAAAGATTGGGATGAAATAGTTCATCAAAATTGGTAAAGTAAAAAAACAGACACAAGTGCTGTAGACAAATGGTTGCAGCAATACAATCTGCAAGTTATTAAAAATTTCATTACCAAAGAGATTTATTAAATTTCATTACAAATGTGAGATGCAACATGAATGTTCTAATATAAGTGGATACAAAAGCAAATTTATTTAATTGAGATTCAGGTACTGTAATTTTTTAATATGACTATATCCACCTATATATTATTAAGCTATATATTATTTCTGCAATGATAATAAAAATGGGCAGATTAATTCATATCCACATAATAATTAAAGTAAATTATAGCCATGAGCAATTTGCAACAAATTTGAAAATAAAAATATATAACAAATTACAATATGTACATATTACATACCACTATGTCCAGAATGTTGACATTAAATTGTGTGTGTATCTATAACATTTTAACTAGGTGCATCCTTTTCATAGAAATAGTTTTATTTACTTGAATTCCAGGTGTATTTCTTAATAAAACCTTATCTATCTAGTGTTATGTTAATTTCTGCATGGTAATACACATAGACAGAAAAGTTAATATTTTTGCAGACAAATCAAATACTCAGGAATAAATCTTGTTACATGCTGGACTATCATTAACAGAGCACTTTTGGATCATACTCTTTTCGTAAGTCAACTTTTCGTAGCACAATGAATATTCCCTCTGAACCATCACTTCATAAGATAAATAAGTACTCTCATAAAATATGGCAAATGGCTCCAGAGATCTTGCTAGGAAATTTTAAAAACAACCCCAGCAAAAATAAAATTGTTCGAATTATTGAAGTGCTTAATTCAAACAACTCTTAAAAAAATTTCAAAATACATTTTTTGCCATCTTATGAAACATTCATATTGACCTAAAATTATGTATCTTTGAAGTAGGACAGGGCTTCACATCCATTTAACATAAAGACACCCTTGCATACCATAGTCAACTAGATTTGTAGACTAATAATACGAGCATCTTTATGCACTTTGCTCTGATAAAATCTGCATAAGCAAACACACAGAATGATTTTGATTAATGGCCAATTTACATACAAAATTAGGCTACTCTATTTGCATTGTATATTTTATGAATTATGTTTAAATTTTGGACATCAATGGAATTTGAATGAGTACAGTTGGAAATAAATAAACAGTTGGAAATAAACACTTTTTTTGCCAATCTGGACAAGTCAACCTGAAAGTGGATTCAATTTTTTAAAATGTAACCAGAGTTGCCAACTCTCCCGATTTAAGCGGGAGACTCCCGCTTTTCGACCGCTCTCCTGCCAACCCGATTTACGATATATTTCTCCCGACTTTTTCTTATTCTTAAAATTTCTCACAACTTTTATGCAACTTGGATTAATACTTTGTTATATGAATAAAAACAAAGTGCTTTTGGATGTCTGAAAGCAATTGAATTATTCTACATTATATCAAAACAAAACCTTGCTAATCAGATAGCTTCTGCTTTGTGAGTGAGAGCATTATACGTATCCAGAAACGTCGTTCTCCAGTTCTCCAATGGGCTTCGAGCTCCACTGCGTGTCAGCTGGCATATATTAGCCAATGAGGACAAACTACGTTGTTATTTGGACGTGCTTTAGTTATTTCTTTCATTTTGTCCAGAGTTGTGTGAGTACACGTGCCTTAGGGAAATAGTTTTAGAAATTATAATCTTTTGCTACGTCTGCGAGAAAGTGAAATATTCGTGTACGTTTCAAAAATCGTACACAGTTGACTTTCATTCCATTATTTCCTCAAAGAAACGTAATAAATTTGCGATGTGTACCACCCGTCATTGCGATTTTTCGATTTCGCATGGTGGAAGGGCGGATGTTCTCAAACATGTATGTACGCAAAAACACAAGGATAACATGAGTTGTTTTAAAAAAAAACGGGAAATTAAATTTTTCTTCGGACACAAAGGACCAAAAAGTTATTAATGCAGAATGTCTGTTCTCTGCCTTTTTACTGGAGCACATCCTGCCACTGAATGCATCGGATCACGCTGCAGCTTTATTTAGAAAAATGTTTCCCGATAGTGAAATCGCTAAAAAATACTCAAGGTGCAAGAATTAAAACAGGATCAATTGTTAAAGAAATGGGTTTGAAAAATAAATCTTCAGTTATTGATAGCATTAAAACAGCTCCTTTCTGCCTCTCTACGGATGGAAGTAATAATACCGATTCAAAACTGTATCCAATTGTTTCTTTTTTTGATCCAGAGTCTTCAGAAATTGAGTGCAGTTTACTTTATGTTCCTACTTTAGAAGGACATTTGACAGGCTTTAATATAGCACAGCTAATTATTAAAACTTTAAAAGAAAATGCAGGCCCTCTGGATAATTGCTTAGCACTTGGTGCCGATAATGCACCAGTATTGGTAGGCTTGGAAGACTGGTGTTGCAGGCATCTTAAGAAAAGGAAAATTCAGATTATGAGGTGCACCTGTCACCTCTTAAATTTAGCAGCTGAAAAAGGGGCAGCTTCTTTACCCATAAATGTGGATGAACACATCGTTGATATTTATTATTATCTTGAAAGGAGTTCTAAAAGGAAGGAAAAATTGAAACAATCCATCCAAGTCTTCATTCAAGTTTTCTAATTGTAACAGCTGCATAACAGCAGTTTACAATTAGAAAACTTGGATGAAGTTATAAAATCAGCTAGGATTGACACCCAGTGGAGTTTAATTGGAAAAGTGAAAGGTGCTGATGGAACTGTAAAATATAGTGAACTGTCTAGAATTGTGTTACCATCTTGACAGTTCCCTATAGTAATGCAGAGTGTGAGAGGATTCTCAGTGTTACGAAAACGAGGACTAAATTTAGATCTAATATTAGTGATGACACATTCGAAAAACTTTTATTAGCTAAAACAGGCCTACGTGGTAATTGCTGTGAACAAAATTATGAAGTTTCTTTCTTAAAGAAAGCAAAATCTGCCACTGTTTATAACATTTGTACGAAAACTAAAGTGTCTTTTTTTTTTTCCTTAAACAATGCAAGTAATAAAAATGTTTTTTATGTATAAGGTATTTTTTTTGTTGCTTGCATTTAAGAATTAGTTACTATTTAAAGTTAATTCATTATTAAAAACTATATTTTTATCATTAAATAAGTTAAAGTCTTTTTAACATTGTGAAAAATCTCCTGATTTTTGAGTGTCATAGGTTGGCAAGTATGAATGTAACTAAGCAACAGAAAATCAGTAAAAGTTCTTACCCATATATGTCCAAAACTCCAATGAACTTGTGAATTTTTTTATTTGATGCTAATGATTTATTAATTTGTTTTACTATCCATTCAAACAACTGAGAATATATATGTTTTGCTAAGGCATCACGAGCAAACATGGCCTATGATTAAAAAGAAAACATAAAATATAAAATAAGAAACAAATATATCATAGTTATTCTAGAATTTCTTTTCTTTAGAATTTAATTTTTGTTACTTTTAAGTTTAAATGGATGGAAAGTAAACACATAAATTACATACTCTTTTGTAGTTTTCAACAGCATCAATAACTTGCAAAAATTTTAATTCAGGAGCTAAACATATAAAAATGAAATAATATACAACTCCTATTTTTTTAAATTGTATTATGAATATATATGTATACATGGTGTCTCGAAATGTAACTAAGCAACAAACTTTTAGCGAAAGAAGGGCATATCATAAAGATTGAGAACTGCATAGCAACCATGATTGAAAAGATCATCATAAGCTGCTTTGAGATGCTCTGCACGAGAATGCTGCATGGGAAAGTGAAGATTTCCTCATCGGAGTGGTAGCCAGCATACAAAGTGCATGCAGTGGTATAGGAACAATACGTTTACATACACATTTAGTGTATGGAAAAGCTCAGGACAAGCCGCTGAATGAATTTATTGAGAATGCTTTGTGAGTTTAAGAGAATTCTCTTGGTGTGCAGGGCCATGCAGCACAGCATCACTTCGCAATAAATGTGAGGGCTGGTTTGGTGAGCTTAGTTAGGTTATACCTTTTACAAATTCGCAAGACTGCCATAAATTATCAGATCTTTCTGGAGCAGTTTCTTTCCGGTTTACTTCACAATTGCATCAAATGTGAGATGCAACATGTGGTTCCAACATAATACGCCACCTGCTCATTTTGGACTGGCTTTGAACAAGTCATTCTCGCATCGATGATTTGGGCATAGAGGGCCAGTTCCCTGGCCCACATGCTTATCTGATTTATGGAGACTCAATTCCTTTCTGTGGACATCCCTCAAAGTTATTATGGATTGCAATCTCATGCAATTTGAAATGGATCTCGTGACCAAGGATAGCCAGCAATCAACCATGGATCGAGAAAGGGTTCATTTACTTAGGCATTTAGCCTTTATCCCATATCGTCAAATATTAGAAATTATTATCATCAAAAGAAGCAATCAAAGAAGGTATATTTTGTGTCAAAATGAACACAAAAAAATTGCCTTCTACACTGAAAATAAATTAAAAACACTGAAGGACTGGACTTTTGAGTTAAATTTGAAATTGAAAAAGGACCAGAATCAAATTTTCAGGAGCTTAAAAATCATTGGATTTTTAATACAATAGACTTTTCCTTGATCAATGGTCTTTGTAGTGTTAACAACACTAGGAAGGAATCATCTGCAAAGGTCAATGACTTGATATTGCAAGCAATTCAAGTCTGGGAGAGGGAGCAATGGGGGAACTCATTAGAGGGTTTAGATGAAGAGATAGAGGCTAGACATTCTGAGGAGAAACGTTCATTCTAAAATTTTATTACAACATTAGTAGAATTAAGTTTAAATACAGAAAAAATCTCTTTCAAGAGTTAAAATCATATTAAATAAATGCGCAGAGAACCATTTTAACAAGGAACATGGAAATGCTTAATTTTACGTAAACTGGTTAAGGTTGAAAGAGGTAAAATCAAGCCTGGTCACGAGAGAAAAACAGTGGTCCTGAGTGATGCTGTAAAGCCAGTGAAACCACTGCAATCATTGGCATCAGCGCCCTAGCGCCTACTGTTATTTTGTTAAAGAGCAGCATGACTTTTGACCAATTATCTAGAGATGTTTTTCTGATACTGGAACATCCAAAGCTCACTACATATTCTGCATAATGTTGAAAGTCATGCTTTGTGAGGCGCCCACTACTTGCTTCTGGATGCGCCGATCCAAGTACGCTGACATCTGCCTAGATGTACTAGTGCCTCTGGCACAATTCATATTCCCCCCCCCATCAATCTATCTTCTAAAAATCCTTTACATAGATGATGCATATAAGTGTGTTTCAACTGTGATATGACAGGATGACCAAGCAGCCATTTATAAGCCTAAAACAAAATTCTTTGTGATTTCTACCAATTCTGAAACTGACTTCAGCATGTCCCCATCTCTTCAAATATACGTATCTTCCAAAATGAGACACAGCTTTATAAATGAGTTTCCCATATGGACGGACAGAGAGCAGCAACTGTTGATTCATCTGATATCTCCTTTCATCTCACTATCTTAACACATGATAAATTTGCATTTCATAACATTTATATAAACCATTTACCAGCATATTCCTTGCTTTTTTCATAATTATACAACAAGTTTCATGGTATTGCTTTTTCTGTAAGGCAGTGTATATTGATTATTTTATTTTATTGGTACTTTTCCATTTCGGCGCAAATCTCGCCAAGCAAACTTTGTTGTCGACAACATACAGTGTATACACATAAAAAGTGTTAACAAATGCTAGTTCTACGAATTTTTTATTTTGAAGGCATAAACATTTTAATATGGTTTATAATTTTGTAAAAAGCCAATAAATAAAAACAATAAATTTGTAAAAAGACATTAATTTAAGAATTTATTATGCTATCATGATTCGCCGGTTCGTATCATGTGACCCCAAGTGATATCATCTCACATAAACTATGCTATAAAAATATAATTCTCTCAGTCATTATCTACATTAATTTCAAGTTAAATTTTAATTTGGAATACAAGTTTAAATGCAAGAATTATTTCAGTTCGTACAAATAGCTTACTCAGAAATTATGTAAAACCATAGTGCTTTACTTCGCTAGTGCATTCTCATTAGAACTGATGAATTTAACCTCTGATTTTGCCTTTTCTATATTTTCGCCTTCGAGTGAGCGGCCTGATTGCATCCTAATTGACTTAATTACTGTGAATGGTCTTAGAACATAAAATTTAATTATTTATGTAAATATTTTATGTAATTGTATGTCAGTATTGAAAGAAACAATCAATCTGGTAAGAAATGGCTCCGACTTGTTTTGAAAATGAGGCGTAAAGGTTACCAGCGAAGATATTTCGTTTGGCATCAGTTGTACCATTATTGGGAACTTTATCGTTTGCGCTGGCAAAACAGAAAAGTACCATTTTCTTTAATGATATAAATATCATCCTAACAAATGAAGATTAATGAAAACAAAAAGTGAAATACGTAATTATTCAAATCTAACTAATAACGGTATTTAAATACAGCTCTTTTGAGCAAATCCAAAAAGCTGTGATGCTCAAAAAAGCAAAATAATTTTACAAAATATCAAGAGTAAATATTACTAAGCCCCTTCTAGCAAAAACGTTCATAAATGTCCAATAATATAACTCATTATGAAATTTTATTACAATATAATTAATATAATACTTTTGAGCATTATGAATATTACACTGTAAAAAGATTAAGAACTGGACAAAATAACCTATTTATTTTTTTTTAATATTTTTGTATATTACTCAATATACTAAGATAATGCATATATGTACACTTTCATACAAAAAACACTAACTCTTTTTTCGATTTTTCGATTTTCTCAACCTTCACAGTTAATAAGAAGGATTTTTCATCAGATTTCCACCCTATTTTATCTTTCTATAAAATCACATATTGGCTGATTTGGCAGAACTTCACAAATGTTTGGTCAAACATATACCATAAATAAATAGCACTACTTAATTAATATTATTAAGTGATATTTTATTTGTTTTTTATTCTTACTTTTTACAATAATATGCATATCCTACAATGGGATGAATACAATTCTGAAATTATCACTTTCCAACTTCTCTCCTTTAACAGCACTGGAAAATTGATATACTACACCTCTTTACGCTTGCATTCAGTGATGAGGGGGAGGTATATAAATACTAAACATGTCACAATTTTGAGGGAAAGGAAAGTATATAACTAACTAACTTTCTCTCACTCTTTTTCTTCACATTCCTTTATTATATGATGAATTATTGATTTTGAAATTCATTGTTTTTCAATTAATAATTATATAAGAAAACAAACCTGTGACTGTGTAAGTTGTTTTGTAATGACTTCTCGCATGCTTTGTATTTTTCTGTTACATAGCCAGGTACTCATTTGATCACATTCTACACCTAAGAGATCACACATTACGACTAGATGAGGGTCACTGTCCTATAAGAGAAATTTTAATACATTAGGAAAAAAAAAAAAGATTGATCATTCAAATTTTAGGCTGAATGAAATACAAAATACTTTATGACAGTAACAAAAAAATATTTTTAAAATGTTACGAAATTTACAAAACATATTTTTAAATAGATCTAAATTTACTTATAAAAGAAATATTTAATAATACAAATTTCCCTCATCCACAACCAGTACACGATTCATAAAAATGTTCAACATATAATCATAAGTAAGTAATGTGTAAACATGAGAATATAATTAACTGGAATAAATTATAAGGAAATTGCAAATGTGTGAACATTAAAGTAAAAACCAAAATTAGGTAATAATGAATAATTAAATGAAATATACATTTCCCCTTAATTTAAAATCCATAAGACAACTACTGCAAGACACTTTTTTTATTTGAACAGTGTTATTTCAACTTGTTTTCATGTTCTTTTAGGGACTTTCTAATTATCTGCAATTCCCACCAAAAAGTTACAAAAAATAATGTATGAAGCAAAGTATGTTGCAAAAACAGTTATGTGACAACACATGATGTCACCAAAAAGGATTTATGTGACAACCCAGGTATGCATGTAGGACACCTGTTTCAACTGGTATACAAAACAGAAGTTGTACAGAGCAGAATTCTCATATAGAACCAAGTTTATGTTAAAACAGATTGCTGTGTACAAAGACAGAACAACTGTGCAAAAAGGAGGATTTACTGAAAAAAAAAAAAAAAAAAGTGTTTTATTACCATTGATTCCCCACCCCCTCCTTTTTTTTAAGTTTTATTAAATTTGCTCTTATATGGAATTCTGTGTTGCCATTAAAAAAAAAAAAAAGGATTGTTGCCTTTCAGGGAAAAGCTTGGCAAAAAATTTTTTCCCCAAGAAGTTTGTGAATGCTCTCCAAATTCGCCAGCAAATTTGACATTGTTTTGGTGAGGTGTGTGGATAATCAGAAAGTATCTCCTCTCTCTCTCCATATACATAATGCTTTTTTAATTTATATCCAAGCCAATACTGCAGCAAAATAATTTATTTCTAAAATAATACTAAGTAAATAACATACATGTATGTAAAGATGCATATAATAATACACAAACATTTGTGAAAATTGCAACTCCATGAAGGAATTATGCAAACTGAACCAAACTTACAGGAAATGTAAAGTAAGACAATGCAAATGATTAGAATTAAAGCAATTGTGCATGCAAAGAATGAGAACTGGGAACTTGTTCCACTTATATAAAGGACTGTAAAGTTGCGTTGGAATCCGTTTATCAACCTTTGTCTGCAGTGAACACTTAATTAGTGGTTAATATGTCATGTCAACAGCAGAGGGGGCATACCAACAACTAACGGAGTTCGAAAGAGGCCACATCGTCAGCATGTGACAGGGTGGCTTTTTGTATCGAGCATTCGCAGCCCGAATGCAGCGTAATGACACAACAGTGATGCGTGTTTGGAAGAAACGGAGAGGAGAATCAAACAATGCAACATGCAATAGCACAACGGCATGGGACGACAGACACTTCATCAGCATGGCTGTGACAGCTCATAGAGTGTTCTCTCGTGTGTTAGGTACAATGTTGGAACATGGCTACAGGTATTGTGTTGTCTAGCTCAGTGGCTCGTCACTGTCTGCTGCAGCACGAATTGCATGCAAGTGTTCCTGTAACACAGGATTCCCCTGTTAGTGAATCACGGATTTAACTTCAGTGGGGATGGCAACAGTACGCATGGTGTGCCCTGTGGCAAAAGTTGTTTCCTCTGATGAATCTTGCTACAATCTAGAGTACAGTGATGGAAGAGTATGCGTCAGACATAACAAAGCAAAACGTCTGTTCCCACAGTGTGTTATCCAGCATTATACAGCACAAATGCCTGGCATCATAGTGCGAGGAGCTATTGACTACAATTGTTAATCTCATCTAGTGCAGACTGCAGGCAACCTCAACAGTGATCACTATAAAGGGGAAGTTGTGGAGCCAGAGGTCATCCCCATTCTTCGACACATTCTGGGAGCTGTATTTCAACAGAATAATGCCCGTGGACATGTCTCTCAGGCTGTACAAGCCTTCTTTAGAGCACAACAGGTTTCGCTTCCTCCATGGGCTGTTTATTCCCTGGATATGTCGCCCATTGAGCATCTATGGGATTTCATTTGTTGGCGACTAGCTTGTACAGCTGATGGGGCACACACTAAGACTCAACTTTGGCGTCAGATCGAAGTCATATGGAATGCCATTTCCCAGGATTTTTTTCATTGAAACATTCTGGCATTGAATCATATAGGCTTCTATGATTCAATGTCACAATGTGTATGGCTGTCATTGCTCAGCACAGCGGACTCACAAAGTACTGATTTCCAATGTTCATTTTGTTTTTTCATCTTGTAAATTTGACAGTTTATTTGTACCACTATCAGTAACATGTGGTATAAATTTCAATCATTTCTGAAAATTCCTCCATGATACTGCATTTTTTACAAACATTAGTGTGATAAATTGCCATTTCTCATCAAGTTACACTAAAGCAATTGACATATTCAACTTACATAAAATTCATTTTATACATGGGTTTGTATAATGCATTACTTACATAACTTGGAGTATTACTGCATTCATATTCAAGTCTATTTAGAATATTGCAAAGCAAAAACACTGTCTTTACTACTAATATAGTATAATGATCACATTAGAATATAATAGCAATTTTCCAAATAAACTGAAATATTTATCACAACTTACAGGTATTGTACAACTTTCAGCATCATCCTGAGCTTGGCCTCCTTTTATTATAGTAATATTACCCAAATGTAAAATGGCAGACAAAATACGAAACATCATCATTTGCTGAGCTTCTGAAAAACCTAATAGAAGAGGGGGGAAAATATACACAAACTGCAAATAAACTCAAAGGTTAAAAAAAAAAAGGATGTTGAGGGGACTACAATGTATTATCTGCATATTAGAACAAACAGAGTGAAAATTTCATTTTAAAAATAAAAGTCCAAAAAATAAAGAAATTAAAGTATTAAAATGCTTCTTGGAAATGAAATAACTTCTTAAAACTATGGTAGTTACAGATTTTCTTAGTTTAAAACAACAAATGTTCATTCAAGAATAAAACTCCTGAGTGAAGCAGGAAGGTAGATGAAAGGGAAATGAAATAACACACCTAACTGAAAAACCTTAAACTCATAAATATGGTTCATGAACTCAAATTAATATTAAAGACAGGATAAAATGTCTTATAATAAGCAGACTTCAAATAATAAAAATTTGCAAGTATTAGCCAAAATTTCAATTAAAAAAAGCAAACTAAAAACCTTTATTAATAAAAATAGTCAGGTCAAAGAAAAATTTTTGAAAAAATATACAATATTTATAAATAAAATATTAAAGATAGAAAAATTACGTAAAATAAACATACTTCTAAAATTTCTGGAACAATTTAAAAGGCTTGAATTATTTTACAATATATAAACAGTAAATATCTGCATGTGTCACATTAGAAATAATAATGCTATCTATATAAAATATTAATAAACAAACCCTTATTTGAAAAATTGGCACAAGCTGTTGAGGGGTAGTTTTCAATAATTATTTGTGTAAAATTGAGTGGCAATAGTGATATAATGTGAGTGGAAACTGTTAAATTTTCCAGCTGTAATGGAAACAGTGATGAATTGTTCTAGTCATTTCCTGTTATGTTATATTTTTGGTGTTTCATTCTGTTACATGATTTACAGCAGAAATAAAATATATCATATATGCTTTTCTATTTGTAACAAAATTTGTATCGTGGTAGCAAGTATATGATTAAAATGACTTAAATGAGTTTACTGTTAGAAATGGCTGCAACTGAAAATGAAATATGTTTTATTGGAAAGTTAAAAGATGTTACTTGACTACAGGTGTGGAAATTTCAAAAAATAATTTATTCATGTCATCTTATTTATGTAACACAGCACAGCAGAGAATGAAAATTTAAGTGATATCAAAGATGGAACTACAATTTTGGAATGAATTAAAAAAAAAGATGTCGGAGCTCAGTATATAAAGGCCTAATGATGCATATATTAACTACTTGCCTGATTATCCCGAGTTCATATAAATCGCAGTTAATTATCATCCTGAGAAAACTCGGGCAAAGCAAAATTTGTCAGTACGATTTGTTCTATCACAGTTTTACTCGGATTGGAGGAAATGAAACGAAAATTGATTAACTTTGATTAGCAGTTTGCCAAGTTTTGTTAGTCTCGCAGTTCTTTTTGCGGGACTTGTCATGTGCTTTCCCTATTGTATAGTATACATTGGCTTGTGGATTAGTAATGTATAAAGAAGGACAGTTGCATTGAAAAAAAAGTAAAATAATGGCAATGATGAAAGATAGCAAAAGCGGTGATTTTTCAGATAGTGATTATGAAGAGGTGGATGTTTTCTGGATGTTCAACTTACATAAAATTCTACTATTACCACACCTGCTACTGAAAAAAAAATCAAATCCAATGAGAGAGTGTACTCTGTGCTCTCATAAAAAAGATTCCAGATTTAAGCCAGTAAAGAAGAGACAGGTGCTAGCGTACAGAATGACAGGTATCACTTTTTGTTGTCCCTTGTTCCAAAAACTATCATACAAAGACTAATATTGTTAATATAATAATAGAGACTAATTTTTTTCATTCGCCCAAGATAACTCAGGATAGTAAGCTTTTACTATTAAAAAATTAAAAATTCAAATTAAAAACAACATATTTTGTTTTTTTCCCTTGTATTTATTTAATAATAAATTTTTAAAAAATGTGATGATTTTTGCAATTTTTTTCAAAAAAAATTTTAAGGGAAGTGGTTAAAACTGTGCTAGTTCAAAAGATATGCTTCATATTCATATAAGTGTATTCTATATATGAAAGATTCTGATAACAAAAACATACCTTGTTACAGATTTTATATATATATATATATATATATATATATATTAAGTATCAAAAAGGAATGAATGTAGCTTAACATGAGAATAAAATTAAAAAAATGAACATACTGGTTAAATTCTTTGAAAGAACAAAATGACTAAAATGTGATAATTTCTAAAATTTTTGTTACTTTGCCAGTTAAATATAAATTAATGTTAATTGTTGACAAAACAAAGCTAACAGCTAGATTCATTGCAGAAGCTAAAATTAAAGCAGGCAATATCAAAATAAATTCAACTGCATTTAATGATAATAAAAAATCTTGTTTTAATTGTAAAAATTTTGGTCACGTTGCCATTTAATAATAATAAAAAATCTTGTTTCAATTGCAAAAATGTTGGCCACACTGCTAGTTTTTGTATAAAACAAAATTAGCTTAGAAGTGTTTCAAATGCAATAAAATTGGATATTTACCTACACTGGTGTGCAAAAATTAAGGAACGAAGTCGAAAAATTAGCATATCAGCTAAACAAAGAGGCAGAACGGACAGAAAGACCAATCAGGAGATTAAGTAAGGTGATGTACGGTAGTACATGCGCAGATATGCAGGTAGACGTAATGGGGAGTGTCTGAGTAGTATAAAGCATGTTGTTGGTGTAAGATCAGTATTTCTGGCAAAGAGATTGCACGCCGTATAGCAGTTAAAATCACACCGAGTTGCTGCCTCAGCGAGAAATGGCGAATAATCAATCTGTTAGACGACATCTGGATGCTTTTACCCGAGGTCGAATCATTGGGAAGTTGGAGGAAAGCCGCAGTGTGAGAAGTGTGGCTGCAGAGTTTGGAATTGCTCACAGCATCGTTTCACGACTTTGGAGACAATTTCCAAACTACAGGAACAGCTATCCGGGGGTTTTAGTAGTGGTCGTCCACGAGGAACCACACCCGCAGATGACCGGTATATTGCCTTACAGGCCAGAAAGAAACAGGCGGCAGACAGCGGGAGAAATCGCTAGACACACTGACACAGGCGACTGGACGACCGATATCGCGTTTAACCGTGGCCAGAAGACTGCACGGTGGTGGTCTGTTTGCACGACGCCCTGTACGGTGTGTACCTCTAACGCCTGCCCATCGGAGAAGGCGTTCTCTGTGGTGCCGGGAACACCGGAATTGGAGAGACAATGAATGGGGACGAGTACTCTTTAGAGATGAGAGCAGATTCAGTCTGAGTAGCGATTCGCATCGCATACTCATCTGGAGAGAGCGGGGAAGCCGCAATCATCCCTCGAACATCATTGAAAGGGACAGGTATGGAGGTGGCGGTGTTCTCGTTTGGGGAGGCATCATGCTTGGTAGTTGTACAGACCTTCACATCTTCGACGCAGGTTCAGTCAAAGGGGCCCGTTATTGTAACGAGATTCTTCTTCCATATGTGCGTCTTTTAAGAGGCGCTATGGGTCCGCAGTTCCTTTTCATGGATGACAATGCACCATTTCATCGCACAGTAGCTGCCGAACAGCTCTTAGAGAGTGAGGATATTGAACGTATGGATTGGCCGGCACGATCTCTGGATCTCAATCCCATCGAGCATGTATGGGATTTTCTAGGCAGACGCTTGGCAGCTCGTGCCTTACCACCAGTAACGATTCCAGAGCTTCAATTGGCGCTGCAAGACGAATGGGCAGCAATGCCTCAACAACTCACTGACACCCTCATTCTCAGCATGGGCAGATGCTGTGAAACCTGCCTATCAGTCAGGGGAAATCATATCCCCTATTAAAGAATGGATGTTTCTTGCTGGACACCCATCACAGGGATGTTTCGGCCTTCAGTCGCATAGCGCTCCATGCTACTTTTTCAATAAAGCTTCTTTTTATCCCTCTGATTTCTCTTTTAGTAAGTGTTGCTTACATTACTCATGTCCTTACGTATTGGGGATCTTACTGTATTAAATGTGTTGATTTGGAAAGCTTTTGTACAAAGTTATATTGAAAAAACCGTCTCATCCTTAATTTTTGCACACCAGTGTAATTTGAATAGAAAAGAATTTTCTCAAAACAAGCAGTTTTGTAAAATATGTAAAAAATACTGATAATAAAAAGACTTTTTTTGGACAAAATAAAAGTTAAATTAGCATCAGTTATCAACAATTAATGTTTTTAAGTGTAAAGGAAGCAATAATGATACAAGCAGGCAGTTAGTTAGATAGCTGATTCAGATTTGTCATCACATTATAACTAACAAGAGCTATTTACAAATTTGAAAAAGATTCCATCAGAATTTTTTTTTTTTCTGTTAAAAAATCTCTATCTGTGAGACATACAACAATAGGTACAGTGGAAACTGATAAATATATTTTGAATGCTGTCTAATGTGCTCCAGAGCTAAGTGAGAATTTATTATCAATATATGCTTGAACTAATAATGACGAAGTTAAATTCTTTGATCATATAGTAGAAATAAAAGAAGACAGATTCTTGAAGCATATAAAATTGAAAATGGTATATATAATAAAGTCTAAGATCTGGAATTATCACGATGTCAGCGATTTTGGAAAGAACCGGATTTTAGATCGTCAGTTTAAACCTCGTAAAATGACAACACAGGAGCTTCACTTATAGCTGATGTAAACTTATAGTTATAGAAAAATGTTAACTCCCCAATAACCCTCAAGGACTGAAAACATGCAGCCAACATCAGTTTGTGCCACTGTGCAATTATATAGTCAGCAGGCATTTGGAAGTGACATACAGGAAGTTAATTGGGAGAAAAATGTCATTTATGATATCCCTGCTTATTTTTGTAGAGTATATATTCTCAATTCTTAGATTTTATAACGGAAGTGAAAATGTCTCGGCTGGAGCTCTGTCCTGGTTAGAGATCAACTAATCAGATGAAAGTTCTGCTTCTGAAAGATCACGTGATCCCAATCTGAGCGATAATCGATTACTGTTTGGTGTTCAAGTCTTTGTAGTAAGTGAAAATGGTAACCTAGCTACGTGGATTTCCTGCAAATGCACAGGTTCTAAGAATTGTCGCTTTCAACATCAAGTCCCGCGTAGCCGAAACATAATGCGAATGGGACCTTATTTAGAATATTAAAAAGTTGATTTTATTAAATAATAAATATTTTTGATAACTTAGAAAGCACAAAATAAAATCAATAGTAATGGTAAATTTGATTTAACTTTTTAATTTAGTAAAGGAAATGAAAATTAAGATAAAGTGTTTAGGAGTAATTTTTATTTATTTATTTATGTACATATGTGTGACAAAAGTATTATGATGTGAGTGATAATAGTTGAATTTTCTAATTGGAATGATAATAATGAATTGTTCTAGTGCTTTCCTGTTAATTAATGTTTTGTGTGTTATATTATGTTATGTGATATAGTACAGAAATAAAATATATGAAAAGGAAATATGCTCTTCCATTTGTAACAAATTTTTATCATAAACTACACCATAAACATTCCTTACAATTAAAAATATTCATATTAAATAACTGTGGATATAAAATTATACAATATGTTATAAAAATAAAACACAGATTAGAAGCAGAAAGATATAAATATTTCTGGTTTATTAATACTTTTAAAAGAGAAAGCATACTCCTTGCATTTTGAACTTGTATTGAATCTGAAAAATTACAGGTTATATAATTTCTTCTCTCTTAGCAGTTAAAATTCTCATATTACTTCACAGCTTATGTTGCTAACTGCATCCTGCATAGTAATTTATTTTCTGCAACACCAGATTTTAGGGTAATTACCTAAAAGAGTAAAAGCATTTCTAGTTTCTTGGAAATTCTTGGCATCATCTACTCCAGTTATGACAGGAGAATCGCCAAGATTTGTATAATGAAAGTAACTTTGGTCCCCTAGGGAAAAAAAAATACATTAGATTTAAATAATTAAATTATATGTCCGATAAGAAAGGAAAAAAATTGGTACTTTTCTGTTATGGACCTGAAATGTTTTTGTTGCATGGCAAGTGCTGATCTGACATATAATAATCTGCCAAACAATCACCTACCATGCGGTGTGCATGTTTGCAATTTACATAACATTCTTATAATGACAAATTGTTTACAATTATTAAACCTACTGACACATGTGTGGCAGGTGTATTACAGAGAAGTACCAAAAAATTATAAGTAAATCAATTAGTTATATAATAAATGCTTATAACTATTTTAACTGCTATATAAAGTTTACAACAATTATACATTTAATAGTTAGTTTAGATTTAAATGAATTCGACCATTAAAGAAAAAGACTTTCATAGGTTATATTTATCAATTAAAGAAGAGTTATTCAGCTTTCTGACCTATTTTAAAATTATATATTGCAGCAATTAAAACCACATGCATTTGCTTGGAATTATGTAAAGGAATATATTTAAATTTTGCAACAAAAACTATCAGCATTTGCTTAATACAACAAAATATCCTAGTCAATAATATCTAGACAAAGAATCATTGGTGTGAGGAGCTAAAACTCTAGGACAAAGTATTTTTAAATGACGAGTTCTTTTAGATGGTCAATTTCCTTATCAATTATGTATGACAAAGAAATCTAAGGCCTTTCTCTAAGAAACTGAATCATTATATATTATACTTGGAAAAAGCCATAAAAAGACTCGCACAGCCAACTAGGAATCAAAGCCAAAATTAACTACTAATTAGTTCTACATCCCTAAAAGCTAAATGTTCTATACAATTAGTTATAGTTGTTAACCTACAATATGGTCAGAATGAAAATGCAGTTTTAAGTGTGAATTTCATTTTTTCACACTTAAAAAATTTCATTTTTTCAAGAGGAAATTTTAAATTGCATCTACCCAAAAATATTATATACATATATATACACACACACATAAAACAAATAATTCCATTACATTTTACTTCATCATAATTCCATGTTACAAGTACAAAAATTTAAAACTGAAAACATACTGAGATACAGCATATTTCATTGCTAAATAACATGAACACCAAAAAAATAAAATATCAAACAATTATGAAAAAAAATGGAGACGTGCAATTTGATTTTTTAGATTTCAGCTTAATACATGAATCTACATTTTTGTGCAACATTTCATGTGAAATGCGCAATCAAAAAGTGAAACTCATTTTTTTTTAAATAATGAACATTTGTTTCTATATATGCATAAAATGTAAACTTAAATTTAAAAAAAAAAATAAAAAATAAAAAAAGATGATGATTATGAAATGTGTGTTGGCAACACTTCCTATTTATAAAAATTATGACATAGTGACAGTTGGCAACTAATACTATTACAAATTTGTTGTCAAAGTCTTCTTTACAGATATTAAGAACTATAACTACTAAATTTTATGGCTATTGATGCCAGTTGCCAGCATTTTTGAAATCGTTCTTCCAGGGCATGAGGAACAGGGAGCAAAAACTCACCTAACTGCAGATCTTGTAATTCTTCTAGTTCAGAAGAAGCACAGAGCTGATAAAATATGTGATAATTTCTTTCATCAGGAGCCTGGAAAACTACTCTTGATTTCTCAAGTAGATACGTCCTCATGTTGGCACCAATAATATGATATTTTGGATTAAAGTCTATTTCTATGTATTTTCCAAACCTCGAACTGTTGTCATTTCGGGTAGTCTTGGCATTTCCTATAGCCTAAAAATAATATATATAAAATAAATATATTTAAAATAAATCTTGTTTCTCGTGGTAAATTCAAAATTATGAAAACTTTCATCACAGCAATTTATCTGACTATGTTCTAATCATCAATTTTGTTGGAATTTTGCAAAACATTTTATTACTTCATTTTAAAGCTTGCACACTAAGTTGCCCAAAACTACTTTATTTTGTCTCTCTTATCATTAAGAAGCAGAATTATGGCTGTTCTTGTTCTACACTGTGAACAGCAAGTTTCTATTTAAGAACCCAAAAGTTGATGTCTAAAGGTACATAGACTACTCTAAATAATTTTAAAACAAGAATTTTTCATTAGAATACTTTTGGTGAAGTTCAAAAGATGATTTTGAATCTTTCTATTTGTTATTAAGTGCTCAGGAACAAGATTACTATTGCATTTTAATCTTCACACTTGGCAACATTTTCTTTTCATTCTGCTTGCGTTTGCGTTAGGTGAAATTTATTTAATTATTTATTTTGAAAACTTGCTTATTTTCAACTTTTCTGTTAAGAAAAAAACTTTTAACTTAAAATATTACTAAAATAATTTTATGAAACTTTTCACAAACATTCTCTAAAATTTTGTGAGTTAAATCTGGGCTAAATGTTTAGGTTTATATAACTATCTAAAATTTTCTCAGGCAATTTTATAAATGAAAAAAGAAAAATTTCTCAAAAAATAGCTAGTGCATGTACTCAAACAAGTATATTTAATAGACATTTTAATTTATCACTTAGATTTTAGTCCATACAATTTCTTATACCTTAGTAAATATAAAAAACAAAAATACAATTAAAATATTGATAAATATTTTTGTGGGAACATTTCTAGTAATCCTAAAATTTAACACATTTTTAATCCAAAATGCAAGAAAATTGGAAAAATTATGCTTTGATAATATTTTTATCACCTGTTTCGATCATTTTAAGTAATATTCTGCTAAATAACACCAATAATAGATTTATTTGTACTATCTTCCAAAATCCGGGTAGTCCAAAATTTGATAACTTAATAATATATCTTTTGTTCACTACAAAAATTTGAAAATTTTAACAATAAGAATAAAATTAACACAAATAAGAACAGCATAAAAGTTTGTCACATTCCAGTAATAAAGAAAATACCATTTAAAAGTATGCAGTTTTTTAAACTATTTATTACCTAACCTAAATACCTAAAAGAAACAGTCATGATATTTAGTATAAATTAAACAACATGCGAGAAGTATAAGTAAAATAACAATCACATAATAAGTTCACCATTATGCTTGTATTTGCAATTATAGATAAGCATTATGTAGTCGATCACTTTAACCTTTTCACTTCCAATGACGATGATACATCTCGTTCTTCTTTTGTATGCCCATTATATCAAATGACATACAGAAGTGAAAAGTCAGTAGTAGCTCACTGTAGCTTATCTAATATAATAAAAATATTTTATGTGAATTTTTTAAAGGGAGATGACTGCTGAATACCATAAAACTTGACTGAATAGAACACTGTTAGTCTTAATCATAGGTCTCAATTTCTATAAATATGTATATTATGTCTTTGATTTTAAACATAGAACTGTTCTTTTGATATAAACAGCAGAATTACTGATTATTTATCACAGGTTATATTTCTTTGTTTTTTAAATGTTTATATAGTATATATATGTTCCACTCCTTATCAATAAGGTCTTCAAGATAATCTTTAGATCTTTAGAAAAGAAATTTCAGCTTGCAGTGTTTCTCAAGAATGCCACATAATTCAAGTCAGGACATCTGACCAGTCAGTTTTTCACTCAAAGTCTTCAGTTTCAAGAAATTTATCAAGCACATTTGCTCAACAAGGATATGCATAAAAAGAAAATTAGATCCTTAAGCACCTTTAATAGTTTTACATAAATACGCATCCTTCCAGAAAGAAATATCCCAAACAGGAAGTACTTGTAAACATCCTCAAAATACTTATATAAGTAGATAGAACATATAGACAGAATAGTAGTTGAACATATTCCAACAAGTCCACTTAAATAAATTTTCTTTACATTGTATAACTAAGTGCAGGTCTATGGATTTCAACTACAATTCCAAATGTAAGCTTGATATCAAATGAGATTAATGTAGCAAAAACACTCAAATGTATTGAAATCTTGATAATTAATGCCACTACTATTCACATAAACTGTCTACACAGAACTCCAGAGTGAAACAAGTTATTATTGTTAATGAGAGATTGCTGCAATTTCAGTTTAGTTTTGAATACTGTTATTCTTCTATATGTCATCAGTAATTCCTTTGGCTTTAAAGAAATCAGTTCATTTGAGTAAGCATTTGTGCTCATTTAAAATCATTAAACCAGTTCTAGTTTTCAAACCTGTACTTGCTTACTCTTTCATTCATTTTTTGGTTATAAGACACAGGTCACACTAACAGGCTCTGAAGGCCATGGGTTGAACATGCCTGCTTTTAACTTAGATGAATGGCTGTAGAATTTTTGTTGCAGCGGGCACAAACTAAACTTCAGAAACAGTTGTTTTATCTTCTTTGATTTTGTTCTTGCTTCCCAATACCCGTTTTAGCACCTATAAATTACTTCCAGAGGTATGAGACTATCTGAATTTAAACTTTCAGCCACCTTAACATTTCTATATTTATCTGCCTGCTTCTAAACAGCTATGAGCTTTTCATTCTAAAGATTTTTCTAAAATTACTTCTGTGCCATTAAAAAACTAATCTGGCTTTGATCAATATGGAAATCAAAAGTACTTTACGACTACCTACATCCCTGCTGAAAAATCAAAAAAAAATATTGATGAGGCAATGCACCGTATCACCAAAAAACATTTATGTGAAAACCCAGGTATGAATGCAGCACAGAAAGAACACGTGTGCACGTGGATTTGAACTTTTGAAATGTAGGCACTTTTTTTAATTAATATTTCTTTTTTTATTGGAAATATTTGTTTTTGTCATAAATAATCATAATGATGAATCTTTTTCCAGCTATGAAACAGACAGCATTGCCTTTCTTCAGAAATATAGAATTTAGCCCAACAATAAAGAATGCAAAAATTTACATTCTGTGAAGTTACATTTCTTAACCAAACAAATTTTATGAATATGCAATGTGAATAATTGCCAGCAAAGCTTTAGAATACAGGCTGAAAATTGGCTTGGAGATTGTTATATCTTGTTAACAACAACTGCTTGATAAGAGAATACATATCAATGATATTCTGTGAAGAAGTGGGATTATCTTTAACTGTAACTACTGAATAATGTAATCACCTGAGAACAGCGTATGTCTTCTATGGAAAAAGAAAAATTCACAAATTAATGAATGAATGAATAAATAAAAAAATGGAACTGGATGCATTATAAAAGTAGATGTTTTTCTTCAAAGTTTTACTGAAAGACAGCCAAATATGTTTCTCCAAAGCTAAGAGCAAAAAATGTTGCCAAGTTTGCAACCTTGTGGCAGAGATAATCAGAAAGTACCAAATTAAATCCTTGAGAAGAAACAGATTTTGTACAAAGCATTAGTTACACCTTTAGATTTTATGTCTTCCATCAAGTATGAATATTTATGAATAAAATTGGAAAATGCAGCAAAACTCAAATTTGAGGATTCTGGATGTAGAATTACAGAATTTGATGCTAGAAGAAAATAAATTTTACTTCCATTACAGGATTGGATATTGCAGCTAAACTCAAATATTGAGATTTAAAATGTAGAATTACAGAGTTTGATACTAAAAGGAAATATATTTTACCTCCATGATAGGATTAGAAGCTAGTACTTTTTTCTCAATCTGAGTTTCTGTAGAGGAGCCTCCAACTGTTGCAAAATACCTCATTGCATATTTTGCAGACACCGTCTTCCCAGCACCTGACTCTCCACTCACAATAATTGACTGATTTTGGCTTTCTCTAATAGAAAACATAAAATTATTTTTTATCAGCAAGTTAAAAAAAAAAAAAAAAAAAAAAAAGAATTGAAAATGAAACATGAAATAAATTATCCTCTGTACTTTAGGAAGTTAAAAAAATGCAGAATTCATTAAGCTAAAAATTAAATTAAAAAATTTTAATAACAAACACATCAAAAAAAATTTTAAAAGTCTTGAAATAGATTTTAGTTCAAGTTAAATATATTTCATGCATAGACTAACTAGCAATTTTTTACCATACATAAAATTTTAGAAACTTTAGTCTTCAACTTAAAAAAAAAAAAAAAAATTATTATTCACGCCAGCAATTCTGCGGAAACTACAAAAAGCAATTCAAAGGGATACATTCTCTTACAGATGATCAACCCATTAGCTGCTGGTGTTGCGTTGACGCAGTGGTCAAAATAAATGCGTATATAACTACCTAAAATATTTTATACGGCAAATAATTTTGTGTAGGGAATTATGAAAGTTGGGGAAGTTGAAATTCATGTAAGAATTAAGTTTCAACCTTCTAAAAGCATTGGTAGTCATACGAAAAAGTTTAAAAAGCAGAAAACTTGAAATGGATAAAAAAGGAAACCTCAGTTATGTCTCAGGAAGAAAATGAAGAAAGAGATAGAACAAAAACTATACAAGGCAAAATACAAGGCAAAACTAGTGGAGAGATTTTCAATTTTCTTTTTGGTTTAGACATTTACTCTCTTCTCGTTGAACAGACAAATATATGCTCTCAGCAAAAAAATATATAGCTATATGACAAGATTTATTGGAATATTATTGCTTACAGGATAATAATAATAATAATATTTATTCTTAGCCTGCCTCGCCTCTCATTGGGCACTACAAGTCATTCGTTATTAATTAATTACAAAGCAAATTACATTTATAAATACAATTTGATGTTGGTTTTTCCAACTTACATTGGCTTAGAGATAGATATATTCAAACTTGTTTTCACTAATAGTTATATTAGTGAAAACAAGTTTGAATAGGAATTTGAATATATATATGAAAAAGTAAGTTAATTACATATTTATATAAGGCATGCTGCCTTTTACATATCGTCAGGTTTTAACCTGGTATGACTTGTATGATGGTCTTGTTGTCATTGACGAAGCTGACAAACTGTCTTACTTCCTGGAGACTGTAGAAATCCGTTAGGTAACCTCTGAGACCTTTACTTTGGAGTAGGGCGGTGTTGGCTGGAGATCTAAGCGACTTGGTGAGTGGGCATGAAGTGATGTAATGGACGGCATCTGCTGTGCTGGCGGGTGATCCCCAACTGCAATTGACGTGTAAATGTAGAAACCTCTCTAAATATTGGGGGAACCTTCCATGATTGGAAAGGGCCTGAACCATGTAGTGGTTCAAGTAAACTCTTGACAGCCTGACGATCGGGAAGATTGCGAAGGTGTATCTTCCGGTGTCCCCTTGTTCCCATCTTTCTTGCCATTGTGACATGAAAGCCTCTTCGATGTGATGCTTGGCTGCTCTCGTGGAGATCGGAAGGGAGATATCTAAGTCTTGGCGAGATGTGGCTGCCTTTGCGAAAGTGTCTGCCCGTTCGTTCCCTCTTGTCCCTTGATGACCTCTTACCCAGTGAAGGGTGACTTGTTTTGTATTACTCAGAGTAGAGACAAGCTCTTTTAGAGATTGAATATGCGCTGGAATCTTGCCTGTCTCTGTAAGACGCTCATACTGTCTGTGTAGATAGAGATCTTGTTAAAATCTGAACTGCTTGCCCAGAGGGCTGCTTTCCTAAGTGCTAGGGATTGCTTACGGGATATCATAATTTACCTCAAGAAGAAATGTATTGGTTTTTTGATAAGGACATTTCTGTTCCTATTGTACGAGAATCGATGTCATGTTTGCAGTACAGTAATATGAAGCAGAATTTGCATTTAGCTGACAGTAGTCAAATTGACAATACTGATAAATTATATAAGGTGAGACCATACCTAAACTTACTAAATAAAAAATTCCATCAATTTGGTATATTTTCCCACGATCTGAGTACTGATGAGCAAATGATTCCTTGTCTAGGCAAACATTCAGCAAAGATGTTTTTAAAATGAAAACCTATAAGATTTGGATACAAAGCATGGACTCTGGCATCATCTGATGGATATGCGTGTCATTTTGATATTTATTCAGGTAAGTCAACAGCTCCAAAATTACCAGAATATGAAGAATTTGGGCTTGGAGGAAGTGCTCAGTATTGTTGAAACTCATGCCAATCATACCATTTTGATAACTTTTTTACATCATTTCAGCTTCTCTGTCATCTAAAAAATAAAGATTTCGGTGCTACAGGAACAATTCAGGAAAACAGCAAATATGCCCACTAGAAACTGTGAAATGTGTCCGTAAGAAAGATGAGGGTTATTATGATTACCTGTATGAAGAGAAAAACAATAATTTTTGTCCGATGGAATGACAATTTGGTTTAACTGTTGGCTCAACATTTGGATTTCAACATACAGCTAAAAAGTAATCCAGTGCTCCACTCAAAGGAAACATTGCACGAGTACAAATCTACTCACTAAGCACCTGTAGTCTTAATTCCGGTGACATTGCACGAACGCAACACTAGCTTTTTCCACAGGTAAGAACACTTTTTTTTTTATTTTCAATGTAAATTTATGTTATAAATGCTTAATTTAATATTTTTTATTAATTTCATGAGAAAGGAATCATTCCTTGTAGTTTTGGCCATTAATGGGTTAAGTCAGTATATTAAACTTGTTTTAATGATTAAATACCACTTCTCAATTAATTTTGTTAAATCAATTACAGCTCTAAAAAAAATTAAGAAAGAAATATATAATTTTCTACTTTATCATCAACTCATGTTTGACTGACTGTGTAAAATTACACATGTGGTATGCTTTTAGCAATTTTTACCTTCTAAAGAATTAATGAGTATCTGAAAATATGGCTGTAAATGATAGAGTTCTATTAAAATCTAATATCTGTGTTTCAACTGTTTAGGAAATCGTAAAGTAATCGGTTGCAGAAATAAATTTTCTTGCCCTACTTAAGAAGAAACATCACCTGACTTATTTTCCTAGGAAGCAAAAAATAAACAAACATATTGTTTCGCAGGAGGTGAGTCATGAAAATAAAAATATTCAGCCAACTTTAGACAGGTCAGCTTCATCATTTCACCCTTTACGAGGTAAAGCTAAAACTGATCAAAATTTATTTTCAACAACCTGTAGTCTCTCCAATGAATTAAAAGCTGTCATACTCAGCACTTTTGTTTGTTTGATTAAAGATGTATGGAGTAACTTTTTTAAAGATATGGGTTTGTTAGATGTCCGAGTTCAAATTCAAATTTTATGAGCAAAAGGTTAGCAGATTTGCTTCAATTAAAGGGGAAAAAGTCTAACATTTCTGCATCAAAAATAAATAATTTATCTTTGAATGTAAATTCTAGAGTTAGTGCAAACTATTCAAAATAAAGAAAAGAGTTTTAATTTGAGTTTGAATTTTTTGGTGGTTCCTAATATTACTGAATATACTTTCTCTAAGCTGCTTGAAATTAATGTTTCATTTTTAGATAGCATTAATTTAGCTGCTGACAAATTTTTTTAATCTGGTCCAATAGAATTTTTTTAACGTGCAGAACATTTCTAAGAGTTTTCAAAACCAAGTCAAAAGCTTCAAATTTAAGATTACAAAACAGCGTTTTTGGCTATGTTGTAAGTGGGGCTCTTCCTGCTAAAGGGGAAAGTAAATTACATTGTGGACTGTGGACTTATTACATGTAATTTGGAGTTAGAAAGAACAGTAAAGGAATTTTGAGAAATCAAAAATGTAGAAAGGCAGTCTGAGATTTCTACAACAAAAGAAGCAGATATTTGTGACGAGCATTTTCTGAAAAACTATACTAGGACTGAAACCGGAAAATATGTCATAAAGATTCGTGTCTTGGTGAATCCGAGAAAAATGCCGTGAAACGTTTAAACTCATTGTGATATTGCCTAGGTAAAGAGCCTAAATTTTGTGAACTTTATGAAACTTTTGTTAAAGAGTATTTAAGTATCAATGATATAGCATGGTGTGGTGGTGTATTGAGAATAAAGCAAAGCACATTAGGGCTTCTGCCTAAGGGGAGGGATGCCTTCGTGGAGGACTTTCTAAGGGAAACTGGCTCGTATACACGTTACACATGGGGAAAACCATGTAAACGCCCATGCAGCCAGCCCGTTCGCGGGATTCGAACCTCGGACCGAACTACCAGTGTTCAGCGATTTTACCGCTTGGCCACTGGTGGGCATCGGCTGCATGGAAGTAAGAGAATATGAAGAACCAGATGTAAAATATTATATTTCACATCATTGTGTATTGCATCCTGAATCAAACAGTACAACCCTTGAGAGTCATATTAAATACATGTGCTTTATCTTCTACTGGAAAATCATTAAACTGTTTACAGTTTAATGAGGTAAAATTCAGGATGATTTAACAGTCATTGTGCTGAAATTTAGGAAACTTCAGTTCACATGTGTAGCAGACAAGATCAACAACAACAACAACAAAACAAACAAAAAAAAAAAAAAAATTATTAGATGATATCAACAGATACTAGTGAATGAGATTTATTGAGAATTTTATTCAAAGCATAAATGCATAATCCAGTAAAAACATACCAATTATGCACTGTAATGTATGGACAACTAGTGCACCTTTTTAGGCAACAAGATCAGTGCTGCAGTTAGCCAAAGATGAGGGAAATGACTTTCTGTTAGCATCTTCTGTGCTGCTAAAAGACATCTATATGGATGATGTCTTAATAGGAGCTATTAGTTTAAATGAAGCTAAGAACATTCAACAACAGCTTATATCTTTATCAGGTAGAGTAAGCACAAAGCTTTACAAATGGTCAGAGAATATTCAGCTCCTTATGTGTGATTAGACTACAGAATCTGGCTATTCATTCACTAATGATACTAAAAGTTTAAGTATACTTTGGAAACCACCAGCAGATTGTTTTGGGTTTAATTTGAGTATAGACCAAAGTGAAGTATATACAAACTAGCTATGCTATCTCAAATAAAAAGAATACTTGATCCCTTAGGTCTGATAGGTACAGTTATTGTAAAGTGTTTTTACAAAAGTTATGGTTGTTAAAATTCAACTGGTGTGGCACACTTCCATTAAATAAAAAATCCTGAGTGCAAAAGCTTTCTTAATTCCTTAAAGGCTGTAAACATTATCAATGTCCTGAGATGGGCTCTGAATGAACAGTTTGCGAGTTTAGAGTTACACAGATTTGCTGATGCTTCAGAAATGGCATATGGAGGTGTCATCTATGTGAAATCCATTAATTCTTATGGTGACTCTGAGGTTAAACTTCTCATTAGAAAATCCAGGATAACACCTCTAATGTGTATATCTATGCTGCATCTCGAACTCTGCTGCTGCACTATTGGGTTAATTGATAAGAAATGTCTTAAGTGAACTAAAACCTTTTTCTGAACAGATAGCACCATTGTATTGGCATGGTTAAGGAAGGAGTATAAAGATCTCAAAACTTTTGTTGCTAATCAAATATGGATCATCCAAAATTTATCTGTGGCTGAACAGCGGTATCACGCCCCTTCTAAACAGAACCCTGCAGACCTCATATCAAGAAGTAGTCAAACTTCAAACATGTGAACTGTGGTGGTGTGGTCCCCCATTTCTACTACAGCCTGTGATGATTGAGTGCCAAGATCATATTCCCTGTGGAACTGTTTCTTTGTGAATTAAAACCCCCAGTATTAAGTGAAATATGTGCACTTATTAGCATTTCTCAGCTTTTAGATGTCATCAATGAATGTTCATCTTACAATAAATTGCTAAGAGTAGTGGCTTGGTGCAAAAGATTCTTGCATAATACCAAACATCCATTGCATCCTACCCACGGAACAGTGACAAACAGTGAACTTTCTGGTGCTTTATTGTGCCTTGTTAAGAAATGCTCAAAGAACTTCATTTGTGACAGAAATCCATGCTTAGAAAAGAGCACTCCTATTCCTAATGGCAGTAAACTACTGAATTTGTGCCCATTTCTACATCACGATGGATTACTCAGAGTGGGTGACAGACAGACAAAAAGTGACTTAAGTGAAATGAAAAAACATTCTACAGTTCTGCCAACAAAACATATTTTTACTGTAATCGTGATTAATCATTTCCATGTTCCTTATTTGCATGCAGGTACTGAAACAACACCATCACTTATAAGGATTAAATTTTGTATTGTTTCTGCAAGAAATGTAGTTAGAAAAATTATATATTTAATTGTATAATATGTAAAAGGGTAAATTCCAAGTCTGCACAGTATAGATGGCTCATTTACCAGCTGTGAGAGTGACAATGTCCAGAATTTTTGCTAGAACAGGTCTTGATTTCTGTGGTGTGCGTTCTGAGATGCTGCCGAGAAATGTTAATTATTCGGCTCTCTAAATAAATAATAAATTAGTGATTCAGTCCACTGTGCTATTCTTGTGTGACGTGTTTTTATTTTAAATGCGAATTTAACTAAACTATTGACGGGCCCAGACATGATTGCTAACCAAGAAATGCTGTCCTACGAAGATACACGTTATTATTAGAAGAACAAACACTATGGAAGAAGGCCATGGATGAAGAAGTGGAATAGTCTTTATGGAATTTAAATGAAAATAAAAAATTTAAAAGAGAAATTTTGAAATTCATTTTATATAAAATATATTCAAAATAATAATTTACAAGAAGCTATTTTACAAATGAACCACATAATCTGTTTAAAACAGTTCTATGTTAATAAAGAAAAACAGGAATCTGCCGTCTGTATATTTCTCATGACTTTAAGAGCAGACAAAAAAAAAAAAAAAAAAAAAATCAGACCTTACCTTTCCATTTGTGTATAAGCTTCTTCTGAAACTGCAAATATATGGGGATCGAGGTCACCCATCGACTGACCTCGATATGCCATGATAGTATCATTTCCATAGATAGGCAGTTCTTCATATGGATTGATTGCCACAAGAACAATGCCTAAATAATAAACATTTAAAAAAAATTTAAATCATCAAAAACCATAAATTTCGTAGAATAAGTCAGATATTAATTGTAATAGGTATATTAACTTACCGCAATAGGTATAGATTGCATTTTGGTTGCAGAATCTGACTTGCAAATTGTACAAAACTGGAAAAAAATAATTTAATAAATTTATGAATATAAACTTAATATTTATGAAAAAAAAATTTTTTTTAATTCTTACCAGCTGGTTCATGCAGATAGGATAAAGAAGTCAAATCATTTTCCCCAATCAGAATATCAGGATTCCGTAAAGGAGGCAGCTGGTCATTAGATGTCACCTTAATGACTTGTTTCTGCAAATACGCAGAAGTTATTCACACAACTATGCAGATGAGAAAATAATTTCAATGTATGTTATTTTTCATCATGTAGTTGCTGAGACATAATGCAGTTGTTGAAGGAACAGGCAGTAATTTCACATTGTAAAAAATGCAAAGATTTAATTATTTTCCTGTTTGTACCATAAAGATTCTCGAATAATTCATATAAGGATATTATTGGACAATATATAATAACAATTGAGTCTAACATACTATTAATAATCTCAGCAATATTTAATAAATGATAACATCTCTAACACTTTTAACAAGAAATGAAAGAAAAAAATCAAAGAAAGCATGAAAAATTATAAAAAATTAAAAACTACAAATGATCCTTAAATTATATGAATTTGAACTGTATGGCTTCACTTATACATAAACTTTATCTAACAAAAATATTCAAAATATATTTGGAGATTTACAGCAAGCTATAAAAACATGCAGACAAATTATAGTTTGTGAATATATATGTGTGTGCAATAAATATTTTTAGAAAGATGATGTAGAATGTTATGCAGTTGATGCATAAAGATGTACTTGCAGTCACACTTATCACTGCAAACACTTCTTTACTTTCAAGTGTTCACAGTTATGACTGCAAACACTTGACAACAAAAGCAGTTACGACATCAGACATTTCCATCTAAATGATTCATCAATTTAATAAACCAACATGATTTTCAACAATTCTCGATTATTTTTCATTGTATGTATTTTATCATAGCAAGCCTAATACTGCAACAATTTGCACAGTGAATCTAGTCATGTGTGCAGTACTCTCACGAAGTACAAAGAGGTCATGCCATTTGAAGAAAGAAGTTTAACTACTTTATATGCACTGTGCAGTTTTCAAACATTTCACTTGTTACAAAATCTCTCATGCTTTATACTTAGTATTAGTGAAATGTATAATATCTACAGTGCTTTGTAACCTTTAAAACAAAATCAATGCAATGCTGATAGTTATCTTATATTCTAAACTTATGATATGGATGAATATAATGGAATGTATACACTTTTCTTGTGAGAGTTTTCAGAATTATTTTTTTACTGTGCAGCTTAGCTTTATTGTACGAATGCACAAAAACACAAATAACATGTATCAACCTATTATGGTATCAATAAGACTTCTGTTTAAGAGCAAGATATTAATTATTAAATTTGTAATGAATCAAATTACTTGAATTGAAATTTTAAATGTGAATTTGAAACTGCAAGAACTGGTGGCACCCTCAATCCCCATACGTTTCAGAATGAACCATCATTTCAAAAATATAAATAATAATGTACATGGAATATGAACAAAATTTTAAATAAAACAAAATATTACTTACCCTTCCATCTTCAAGTTCCACATGCAATTCATTTTTTTCAAATTTCTCAACTTCTGCACCAACCCAAACATGTTCTGGATCAGGAATCCAAACACGGGCCCCCTATCAAAAAGTACGAATATCATAAATTAAAAGACAGGCAGAAACAAAATTGAGAAAATATATTTATCTCAACAATAATTCATTTTCAGAATGAACATTTTACACACCTGCTTAAATTTAGTAATTAGAACTTTTGCAAAAACATTACAAAATTTCTTGGTACCTACAGCAATGATTGTGATGACAATAACATTATAACAATAAGATTCTCCCAGGGCAAATTTCCATCAAAAGTAAATAATATTCTCTAAAACAGCCAAAACATTATGACCACCTACTCAAAACCACATTGTGCAACCTATGGCCTGCAAAACAGCTGCAACTCGCTTTGGCATCGATGCCATAAGTTCTTGGTAGATGACTGGAGACAGGTACCACATGTCTAAGCAGCAGTCACGCAAAGGTGAGATATTCCAACATGGTGGTGGTTGAGCTCTGAGCAGCCGCACCATCACATCCCAAATGTGCTCTATCAGATTAAGGACAGGTGAGTTAAGTGGGATTCATTCTTATGCTCCTCAAACCAGTCCAACACCATTCGAGCCTTGTCACATGGGGAGTTGTTGGAAGATTCCATTTCCAATTAGGAAGACAGATGCCCTCTAAGGGTGCACCTGATCCAGTTATGCTCAGAGAGTCTGCAGCTTTCATTGTCTGTTCTACCACAACTAAATATGGTCCCAGAGACACCCATGAGAGCATTTCCCAAACAATAACCACTACAAGTCTGTGCATGGGTGGCAATAGTATCACCTGCTATACAAGACGGGGCTGTTTGCCTGGAAGATGGCGTACACTGAAACGACCACAGATGTGATGAATAAGAAATCATGATTCATGCGACCAGGCAATCTTTCACTTCCACTTAAGGAGTCTTCTACTTATCCATGATCCAGTTTCGATGTTCTCAAACCTAATGTAGGCCTAGTTGACAATAACGCTTGGTCAACAGAGGCACAGGAGCCAGATGTCTGCTGCACAGTCCCATATCCAACAGTGTCTGTTGAACTGTGTGTTCCAAAACACTTGCAATTAGGCCTGCATTATATTGGACTGTTAACTAAACCACTGTCTGGTGCCAATTTTGCTGTACCGAACAGGACAGTCTCCAACGTCCTTTTTCTTTTATGACGCGTGGATGTCCAACACCTTGGTATCTACAGCTGGTTTCACCATCATGTATCCACTTTGTATAAATACTTGCAACAGCAGATCGTGAACAAGCTACCAGTGGTGCAGTTTCAGAGACTGCAGTTTCAGAGACACCCGTTCCGAGTCTTCGGGCCATTGCATTATTTATTCTATCAAATTCAGTAAACCTTTCCCATCACTCGCAAAAGAAAGTGCACGTATGATTCCTTACCTTCTCAGCAGCATTTAAATACCATTCCCACTTAATCACATACCCTCCATATAATCCAAATGAGTTCATTGAAAAATGTAGAGATGGTCGTAATGTTTTGGCCCGTCAGTGCATAATTATTACACAGAAGGTATTTACACATTTTTAGAATGATTTTGATAAAGAATTAAAAAGCAGAAAATGTCGTGGAATAAAAATTTTTGGCAATAGCTTATTATTTGAAATAAGAAATATTGTCTGTTATATTTAAATTTATTCTTCTTTCAAAATGTCGCATATAAACAAGCTATGGATTGAAGGATACGTTTTGAGCTTTCCAAAGAGAAGTATTCTTACACTATAATCAAAAAAAACTGTGAAATGCATGGCATTAAAATGTCTTAATGCAAAACTTACAACATTATCAATCATATAGGAAAAATATATCAGTCTTTACTCTGATATCAAAAGACTCCAAACGAACATCCAAAAAAGTACACACTGCTTCTAATGTAAAGTTAAATCGTTAGTAATAAGAGAAAATATGCCAATGCCAAAATCAATTGCAAAGTCTTTAAATACATCTGTAACAAGAATAAAAATAATAAACTAAGATTTACAACTTAAAAAAGCTAAAAAGCATAATGTTCTCCAGCTTTTACTGAGGCATGTGACTCATTGCAGAGCAATCTGTAGAACCCTGTATGAAAACTATTTAGCACATAAATATTATTTAGAGATAAATGGAAATATATTATAACCCTTGATGAAGCATCACTTACCTAAATAACTGTAACAAAAAAGGAGATTTATTATCTAAAACAAATAAAAAAAGCATAAACCTGTTTCTGTCAATGCAAAGAAAGTCCCAGTAAGAGGTTTATGATTGTCACAGAATTCTCTTAAAGTGGGAAATTAAAAATAAGGTGAGTGGAATAAAATGTTAAAATCAACTCAACATACTATCAAGAGAAAGTTTTATGTCCTATATTTAGAGAAGAAATTCCATTTCTTCATCCCAATGATTTTCAAAGAGTGAAACTTCATCAAGACAAAGCAAGAAGTCATACTTTGAAAAGCATCAATGCATTACTAGAAAAAATGAAGACTGATATAGGTATTGTATATACAGAACAGAGTGTGAAATCTAGGCTACAAATATTCCAGAATGATCTAAAATCCAGCCTTCCGGACTACGAGCAACCTTTTTTCTTATACAATTTTTTTGTATGCTTCACACATGCCCATTTGGTGTTTTCTCATGAATAATATGTGGTGGATCGTGATTCTTAATTTCACTTTGGCACTCAAGAAAATATCTCCGTACTGAAGAAACAATCATTTACTATTACACTTACTGAATAATTAATATCCCACGTGGCAACCTAGTAAATCATTAACATTTTTTTGTTTTCATCATCATCTATTATCAACACACAACAGCTTGAGAAATGACTCATGCAGCAATATCTAAATATTTTTGGTACTTTATCTGCCCACAAATCTGGCAATAGTATCTCATTATGTTCCGGTGACCATGCAAAATTCTGTTTTTGTTTCTTGCATATTCTCTTTTTGAGTCTTTGAATTATTTTTTAAAAAATTTTCAAATAATATTAGCTGAAACAGCATGATAACCTTTTATGGTATTCTTGGCGATGATTGCAGACTTCAGCTTAATTGCATTGGGAAGTGTCGAGTGTGTTGACAATGACAAATTTAATAGAAGTTCCTTTCATAAGCAAAAAAATAGATTTTTTAAGTTATATTCAAAGGCCAAAAGATTACTTTTTGTGGTGTTTGAATTCAGAATAACTGATTTTTTTTTGTTCAGATAAATCCAGGATAGTGCTAGAGCTGGTGCAATTGCACTAGGTAACATAATTTAGGAGAGACAAGTTCTTAGAATTTATTTAAGACTCGGATAAACTTTCAGCATGTGCGGGAAGTAGATGTAAGTATAATAAATAACTTAACTAATATAATTCAGGCTCATCTTTGTCCAAACGTGATAGAAGCAAGAAAAAATTTAGCGGATAAACATGTCTTTAGTCCCTAATCTCATGACACATCACCAATCATGTATGATGATGCCTTTGTGAAAATTTACAGAATAAAATATACCATTTCTTTATATCTCCCACCTCTCCAAAAGATCTGGTTTTCTATGAAGACAACTGCTTAAAAGTTACTATGTTCAATACTAATGTTTCATGTGTGTTTTCAAAAAGACTGGTCATTTTCAGAGGGGGTCATCTTGTTATCACACAAGAAGTTTGACTATAATATGACTTAGCTGTATTTTTATTTTACCGCTCCTAATACTTTTTCTTTATATAGTAAAAGTTTTCTCATGTCCGATGGTAAATAGATCAAATCAAAATTCCTAAATAAGATAATAAAAATATTACGAATGCAACACTTGCTTTTTAAGGGACCCCCCTAAAAAAAGAAAGCTTTGATTATTAATAATTGCTATTCTAGAGTTTATAATCCTATTGAAAAGTGAATCAGCGTCTTTAACTATTGCAACTGAAATTTACTAAATCCACAGAAGGCAATAAATGAACAGAAAATATTAATTCATTGCAATGCTTAACAGTGCACAAACGAATTTTAATATTTCCTAAGACGAACACCGTATGCATTTTATTTCTGCTTTGAAAAAGCATTTTATTTCTGCTTTTTTCACTCTCCATTATTCCAGATGGTGTTCATAGCTTAAGGCATCATGCTATTGAAATCCTAATGCTGTGCTGCTATGGATACCAGAGTCATTAGCTTCAATTCCCTTTGGCAAAAGAGTCCGTTTTAACCTCACCGATAATCCTGCCGAAGATAGCAGCCCCAGTGGACAAAAGGTAGCATACACTTTTCTCAAAAGTTGCTATTAACTTACAACTAGTTAAATTAATTGTTGGGGGGGGAGGACTTGTAAAAAGGCAAAGGAACTATATGATTTTGTATTGGAAATCAACCCCCTCCCAAAAAAAGGCACTTTATGAAAGGCATTGAAACACTCTATGCTTCTCACAACAAACTTTTAAAAAGTTGCATCAGTCACTGTTCCAAGCAAATATCACAACATTAAAAAAAAATAATAACTGTAGAATGCACTTATTATGCAGTAATAAAAATCTTTTCAATTAACTTTTATTTATTTTTTTTAATTCCAACAATATTTAGGTTTATTTAAATTATACATAGTACTTCCTTAATCTGAATTATACCTAACATATTTTTCCCACAGAAAATTAACTTTACAAAACATGATTTTGTTGTACTTGCAATATATCAATGACACTGCCTCCACATTTGGCAAGGATTTACCGTATTTCATAAACATAATTATCCTTAAGTAGAATTCCTTAAGTAGAAGGCATTTTTAATCTGCTATGTAGAACCAGTTAACCTCTTTATGTACTCAACCGAGTTTAACTCAAATACACCAAACTAAATTATTTCTACACACCCGAATAAATACATTCAAGAACATTTTTTGGTTAATCTTTGGATTATGGTAACTTGGCGATTTTTTGGCAAAAATATGGCGACCAACCCTGCTACAGGAACCTGCTAGTTTTGTTTTGGACGCCATTTTGTTTTTACGAAGTAAAGGCATTTTTTTTTTTTTTAAACTCAACATTTTTTTCCAATA